GGTGAATGTTGTTTGCCATATAAGTTAATATATCTTAAAAATTTAGGGGTTGTGATAGAAGGATGAAAATTTAGGGGTGTATATACATTTTCGGAATCGAAATATAACAAAACTATCTCCCACAAAATAGGTGGACCACCCTTATCAAAATATCTTTATTCATGTAGGTTTATTACAGACTTCTGATATGTTAAATCTACCGTCAGTTCAGAGCTTTTGAGCTAAGAAGAACTGACAAGATACTCAGCTCCTTATTCTATTCCAAAGGGGTTCAAAACATTGTGACACGAGAATTTTATATATTTGATATAGTTTGTCTTTAAACCAAAGCGGAAATTACACTTCTTACAAAGTAATTTTAATCAATCTACGCAAAGGGGAGATGAAAAAGTTAGTGATGGGGAGTAGTGACCCATTACAAGTAACGAACTGTGCCCGCAGTAGTAATGTGGACTCTTATTGCTAGCAATGCACCATATCAGTTTGACCTCCATGCGGTTCCCCTGGAAACCATCGCGATAAATTCTTGGTGAATTTGTCACGATGGGGTAACTGACCTGACCTCATGCTCATCTTATCCGCTGGTGCCCCACCAGCGATAACCGTTAGCGCAGGCGGGTGCATCCATCCATTCATCCATTATCAAACATAAAAAAAAACTGTGGTCGCGGTTTCACCTGCGTTGATGCTATTCTGATGTATAAGCTATATTATTGTAAAGTTTCATTAAAATCTATTGAGTAGTTTTTGCGTGAAAGAGTAACAGATATCCTTTCAATCTATCTACACTCAGAAACTTCCACGTTTGTAATATTAGTGAAAAGTATGATATAGTACATTACAGACGATCTCCACGCGGTACCTCTGGAAATCGTAATAGTTAATTTCTAGATAATTCTTCATGGATTTATTAATTGATCTGACTTTATTCTCATCCTATTATTATCCACTGGTGTCCCAGCGTAGCCCAGTAACACAGGATGAAGAGGAGGAAAGAACCCTGCCATCAGGAGGTTGGGGTTTATGAGTAATATGGACAGAATGTTCATATCCCCTTTCAACCTCTTACAATCCTTTTTATTTATTTATATTCAATCAATAGCCTAAAAGATAAGTGTCAAGCTTCTAGCTTGGAAAATAACAATACTTTCATACAAAATATTATCTCCTCTTTCAACCCTTTTTACGCATTAAAAAGTAGCCTATGTCGTTTCTCGGGGTCTAAACTATCTGTATAATCAAGATCGTCAGCTGATTTAATATCAAAGAATAGGGTTGTCGATTTATAATAAACTAAATGTGCCCGCGACTCGTCTGCGTAAATTGTCGTTACTTCTGTAACCTTTCATCACCCCTTTCAAACCCTTACAAACCTTTTTTCGGATTAAAAAGTGGCCTATGCCCTTTCTCAGATTCTTGACTATATGTGTACCAAATTTCAATTAAATCGGTTTAGTAGTTTTGGCGTGAAAGCGAGACAAACAGACAGACAAAGTTACCTTAGCATTTATAATATTAGTAAGGATTTTACGGGCAAAATTGTAATTAAAAATACATCTTTTCAAATAAAAAAAGAATTAGCCATAGAAATATAAATGTCTTTTTTTTATCGTTTAAAATATATATATAGCAGAATTGAGATGGACTGTTCGAAGCCGGTCGAAATTTATTTAACGTTTATCAATGGTGACTCAGAGGAAGACAATAGCACGAACACATGTCTAATGTACTGCATAATTCCACAATTACCTACCTTTGACCTTTATACGTGACGTTGGACGGTCGACAATTTATTAATGACTTGGGAAAGTGACCTATGTCCTTAGCCGTCCTAAATAAGAAAATTAAAAAGAAAATATAGCACACTAGCTGTATCCGCGACCTCGTCCGCGTAAATAATTAAAAAAATATTTAATGACCTAACATAATAAAAGCCAAATAAAAAAGTTTCATTGTTTTAGCTTCAAAAATAACGATACAAAATCAACAGTCTTAAAAATAAGTTTCAAGCTTCAAAAATGACGATTCTTTCATACAATCTTTCATTCCCCCTTGCAAGCCTTTCTTAGCATGAAAAAGTACCCTATGTCCTTTCTCAGGGTCTAGACTATCTGTGCACCAAATTTCATTTAAATTGGTTCAATAGCTGTTACGTGATAGTGTGACAGACAGACAGACAGAGTTACTTTCACATTTATAATATTAGTAAGGTAATAAGTTTATGACAAGTGTTTTAATGAATGGTAATGGAATGATGCACCCGCTTGCGTTAACGGTTTGTGCTGGCTGGGCACCAGTGGAGGATGATAAGATGAATGTGAGGTACCATGAACTACCATTTTTTAATGCATGACAATCAAATGGTGCTCCTGTCTGCGCTAACGATTTATGCGGGGCACCAGTAAAGGATGATAAGATAGCCCATCGTGGCAAATTTACCAGGAATATATCACGATGGTTTCCCGGGGGAACCGCTTGGGGCTCAACCGGTTATGGTACACAGCTAGATATGGCAGCTGTGTGAATTGATCAGTGTTATTAATATTATCTATTTTTTTCTACTATGTTCTCGAAATCACTCGGTATTATAATTTAGCTACGGGTTATTCAAGTTTAAATTAAACAATCATTTATTCATGTAGGACCTTGTAGCCTCTTATGAACGTAAATTTTTTCATACCATCCAGTTCAGTATACAGATTCAACTGAGAAGAACTGGCAGGAAACTCAATAGATTTTTTTTAAAGCGAGAAATTTGCATTGTTTCCTTAAATAGGTGTCTATGTCTAAAATTAAATGAAAATCCCGTGCATGAACAACTATTGCCATGCACGCTCGTCATTCAAGTAACTATTTAGTGAGTAATAGGCTTTGCTAAATATGCTTTAACAGATGTTTTGAATCCAATATATCCTTTGGTATCTTATTGTAATTTTTTTTATATAATTTTCTAAATTATAATTCAAAGAGAGTTCTTATGTTAATGGAAAGCTTACTAAATATTGTTACCGATTCCATCTATACACGCTCAGTTTGTCTATTCTGAACCTTATTATCCGGGGGCAGATATTCGGCTCGTTGAATATGGATGCGTGCAGGATGGTTTGACTTCCATAAGTCGACTATGGCTTTTTGTGGGTCATTGGTCAGAGCTCTTGTCCTTCTCAAAAAGCTAATTAGGCAGTAAAATTATAGACTAAGAGCATTCTCGAGGATTAAGAAATCCTTCTGAATGGCAACGCATACCTGGTATTATGTTTGTGAGATCCATGTTGCTATTCTTATATATTCATTGGACATCAGCATGTTTGCCATTCCAATTACATTAATATGTTATGAATATAGAATAGAATAGAGAATCCTATATTCAAATAAACTTAATTTAAGTCCTTTTGAATAGTTATCACATTTTTTTTAATCTACTCTCATTCGGAAAGCTGACTCATCACAAGAAGAATGAGTATGAAACTTGTGTGTTGCTCTTTTGAATAATCGTTGTAAGTTTATATTTTTAAGTCGAAACGTGAATACAAACTACCAACTAGCACTAATTTATTAGGGTTAAATATAAATCTATATATATACTTAAATAAAATTGGAGTGTCTGTTTGTAATATTGAAATAACCGTTTTTTACTACATGCATATGAATATAAATACGGTACATACACCAAAATAATATTTTTTACAATATTGGTCTGTCTGTCTATTTGTTCCTGCTAATCTCTGAAATGGCTGGACCGATTTTGACGGGACTTTTATTGGCAGGTAGCTGATGTAATAAGGAGTAACTTAGGCTACTTTTATTTTAGAAAAATAAAGTTAAATTCGTTAGAAAATAAAGTTAGAATTTAACTTTACACTTTACAGCTAGTTCATAATAAGATTTAATCAGTCATAATGATTAGAGCAGTACAAGTCCCTACAAGCAGAACTCGTTCACGAGTATGACGTATGAGCTTAACATTTTTCTAAAAAAGGTATTAGTTGCTATGTAGCGTTATAAAGTATGTATGCGTGCAATGTACATGTTTCATATTCCCGTGAGTCATCAATCGTGCTCAATTGACTGAGGGATTGATGGATTTCGTATCGTCATAACTTCATGACGCATTAGGTTTAGCCCGCCATTTCCCACGTAGCACGCAACGACCAGAATCTACATACTTATAATGATAATCCAGGAGAGTTCATACAGCGCCCTATACTCCCGAACTAAGCGGAACTGTTGTTATGGTACTAGACAACTGACGTAAATACAAGTTTCTTGCTCGTTCTTCTTCTGATGAGTCGGCTTTCTGTATAATTAGAATAAAAAAAGAAGCTAAGAGAAATTCAGAAGAGCTTTTAGTAGTAGTTTATTTGAGTACAGTTTTTTTTCTAGACACATTTTTTTTGTGAATAGGTACATACATCGAAAATATCAAACCATTACAAACAGCTATACTCATAAATAGAAATGTTTGTACCGTGCGAGGAATCGAAACTGCGATGGTGTGTCTGCGTTACGAATGAGTGGTAGAATAAAAAAGTTACTATTCAAAAGTGCTTATATTAAGTTTATTTGAATAAAGATTATTTCTATTTCTATTTGGTAGCGCCTGATATCTTATATATAAAATTCTCGTGTCACAGTTTTCGTTCCCATACTCCTCCGAAACGGCTTGACCGATTCTCATGAAATTTTGCAGCGTATTGAGTAGATCTGAGAATCGGCCAACATCTATTTTTCATCCCCCTAAATGTTAGGGGTAGTCCACCCCTAATGTTTTTTTTTTATTTTAAGGCAAAACAACGTTTTCCGGGACAGCTAGTAATAATATAAAAGTAATATATACATCAATATATTAATTTTATAATGTTACTTAATACATGTGTATGTTAGTCTGTAAGGTATTTATAATATAAACCTAAAAGAAATATATAAATAAAAATAGAACAACCAGGACCGTCAGCCTGCTCCCCATTCCAGTTCTATAATAGTCTAATTTATATTTACAGTTGGTATTTCCGCGACATGTCCAGAGCGGAAGCATCCAAGTTGCTTCTCAGCGAAGTGGAGAGCGGAGTATTCCTCGTCAGAGACTCCAAAACAATACAGGGGGATTATGTACTCTGTGTCAGGTAAGGACTTACTACTTAGTTTTAAATCTATACTAGTAATAGAAATCATATTTATTCAAATAAACTCAGAAGTAGAGACCGGATTATATGCATTTGCGTGTGTTTGACATGATGGCATTATATTAGTGATGCTGGTCATGGATATCCGTGCCTAAAATAGGATACCTTAGCCTAGGGTTTTTTTATTTCTGATAATGGAATGTTAAATCTGTACAGATTAACGGTACTTACACGCCGGCGTAGCATCATTGGAGGATAATAGGATGATTTGCATATTTTAGCCATTCTCAGAGGTAATAATAATTTTACCTAAGATCTAGTTATGATGCATATTATCGGTACATTTACAATATTTTTCATCCGAATTGCGACCAAATATAAAATAATAATAGTCACAAAATATAAGAGCTATTGAGTAATAATTATGACTTTTTACTGCATTTCGGAACGCAGTCAGTAGCCGCGCGCGTTTTGTTTTGACAGTTACGATAATAAAATGAAAGAGACAGAAGAACGTCGCACTCGCCTACTACAAAGTCGTTCCACCTATTACGCATATAAATTGTTAAATGTTCAAATTTTTAATAATTTTAATGTCATATAATTTTACTTTACCTATTATCGCCTATCAAAAACTAACTTACTAATTGTATGCTGAATTTGAAATAAAAAAAAATACTGTTCTAATTTTTTTTTGGGATTACTAAAATTTTTCATTTCATTTTGCATATTCTGCCAATTTTGCAGCATGCATATAAGAAGATTTTTATGTTGCATATAAACCGGTCTCTAGTTATAAGTATTTTAGAATTGTCATTTTGTGTTTAAGTATCGACGTGCCTACTTATTACATACTTATTTTACTTATTAATTATAGAAATATAACTAGCTACTCGCATCGCCTTCGCACGGGTGTACATGATATATATAAACCATCCTCTTGAATCACTCTATCTGTTAAAAAAACCTCTTCAAAATCCGTTGCGTAGTTTTAAAGATTTAAACATACATAGGGACGGACAGACAGCGACAGCGACTTTGTTTTATACTATGTAGTAATATATAAAATTGTTATTTATATAAATTTCTTGCTAATAATTTTCAAGAATAAAGTTGATACATTTTTCATAGAAGAGTTACACTTATGTACAAGCTATAACAAGCGCTACAATTCACAATTGCAGCTATTTAATGGTCCATTAATAATCGCAATGCTGTAAATTTCATAGAAACTGTTAGCAACGGTATTACATAATGAATCCCAAGATCAGCATTCGGCTCGTCATAGCTTACTATGACGAGCCGAATGCTGATGCCTAAGCCGAAGACGAGACATATGATAGGACTTATCCTATCATATGTCTCGTAGACAAACAGATCACTAAAACTTTGTCTTAGACTGCTGGTATACAGGTCTGTTCTCATTTAGTTACTAATAGATATAAGTAACCCACTGAGTACCCCGCTTATTTGAACTGGCCATCACCGAGCTCATGACAACCTGACAATTGTGATGTACAACTAAAACCTAGTGTTAGGCTGCTAATATACAGACGTTCTGTTCTCACTTAGTTATTAATTGTTGCGACCCGCCCACTTTAGAGATGCGGCAATTAGCGATCTTGATGTTATTCGTTTTAAGATCTCACTATTATTTTTTTATGGATGATAATGTAATGTTGCAATCGGTTTACGCTGGCGGGGCACCAGTGGAAGATGATGAGATGAGCATGATGTCAAGTCAGTTAGCCCATCGTGACAAATTATCCAAGAATTTATCATGATGGTTTCCAGGGCTACGTTGCTAGCAATAAGATCATCAGTCCATATTACTAACAATCCACTTTCCCCCCAAATCTCACTATTGACCTAATATATATTACCAGCCTTACATTTTCTTTATGGTTCACAGAGAGGACGGTCGTGTCTCACACTACATCATCAACCGGATAACATCCAACGACGGAGTGACCCGGTACCGTATTGGTAACCAGGTTTTCGCGGACATGCCGGCCCTGCTCTCGTTCTACCGGCTCCACTACCTGGACACAACGCCGCTGGTACGGCCATTACCGCAGGCGCCGGCCCGTGCGGCAGCCCCCGCGCCGCAGTCGTTCCAGGTGTTGGAACTGGTCATAGCCAAGTTCGACTTCGATGGGAATGTAAGTAATGATTGTTTATCATAGCCATCATCTTAAGTTATATATAGATGTAATGATAGTGGTGTTAATGACGATAGGAGGTTTTTTTTTACAATTAATAATTTATGATGGTACTAAAAATCGTCAAAACGATACGTAGTACATTTGCAAACAAACTACGTGATGGAAAGTCAAGGATATATGATAGCCTCATCTATTAAGATGAGTTTATACTATGCATACTAGACAGATTTAAATACATTTTTGAACATAGACAAATAAGATACATTGAAAGCACCCAGACACAGGTATATTTAGAAGAATATTTCTTTACCAGAAGCTAAAGAATAGATACTCCACCTAGCTTTAAGCCGCGATTTTATTTTGGCTAAAAATTTCACTAGAATAAAGTAACCTTATCTCCTCCATGCGAAATTCTACTTTTATGTCGAATCTTTACGGTTTATTATTTACTTTTGCATTAATGTTAGTTTTTAGCTAAAAAAATGTATGGAGTGGTACTTAGATTCAAATTTTATTTGCCTAAAAATTGGCTATAATTAACAGTAATCTATCTACTTCTCCATCCGAAATCCTACTCATATATCGAATTTTAATAATGATTACTTACTTTTGCATTAACATTAGAATGTTTCAAAGTACAAGGATCATATACAAACTTGGTAAGTGGTACTGCCAAAGCAACAAATTAGCATACACAATCGTTTATTACGCAACCATCATTGTTGTATGGTTTTGCTCAAGATGCCGTGAACTGTACCTATGCAAACGACGTTATAAAGTTCTTCCTCTGGCTTTCATTTCCAAAGAAATTAGGCGTTCTAATTTTAGGTAACCATCAGTAGCGTCTCGATGAGTAATGCGCCTGGATGATTATGTTCCCATAACTCGTGTCTGTGCCAAAATAGTATAATAATAGTATCACTAAAACACTGCAACTAGACTATTAGGTTAGTAATCGTTTGATCGTGACGCCGCAGTTTTTTTTTATGTAACTGTAATAGGAAACAGGCTATTGGTTTCGGATTAAACAGTGCATTTGAGTAAGATTTCTTATAATTATTTCGGTACAAATAATAATACAAAACACAATTAAACACAGACTGACTACTGATTGTATTATTTAAATGCCTATATATTATTCTGATGTATAAGCTATATTACTGTAGTTTCATCAAAATCTGTTGAGTAGTTTTTGCATGAAAGAGTAACAAACATCGTTCCATCCATACTCACAAACCTTCGCGATTATAATATTATTATTTTTATTATTATTGTAGGATCCTGACGACCTACCGTTCCGTCGCGGCGAGCGGCTGATGGTCATCAACCGTGATGAGGAGCAGTGGTGGACGGCGCGCAACAGTCAGGGCCGCACCGGTTCCATACCAGTACCCTATATACAAAGGGTAACTACCATTTTTTTTAATGCATGACAATCAAATGTTGCTCCCGCCTGCGCTAACGGTCTACGCTGGCGGGGCACCAGTGGAGGACTATATGATGAACGTGAGGTCAGGTCAGTTAGCTCAGTTAGCTCACCGTGGAAAATTAACTAGGATTTTATCACGATGGTTTCTAAGAGGAACGACGTTGAGGTCAACCTGACATGGTACATTGCTAGAAATAAGATTGTTAGTCCACATTATTAACGATCTTCTTCACTCGGAACCATTTCTACCTATGAAAGCCAATTAATTTATAGATTAAACAGAATAAGCTTGTAACATATAGTGAAGAAAAGATTAAAAATATATTACACAAAATATATAAAAATGCCACCGTGAACTAACTTGCATAAAATTAACTCACACTTGAGCTCCATACAAATATATAATAAAATACTGAATAAAAATCTATTTAAATAGATTTCTAAATAGAATTTAAAAAAAGTTACACCAATGGCTCGTTAAAAAATGATGTTACTCTGTGCGGGAATTGACCTGACATTTAAGATTATTGTTTATAATGTAATTTAATTGTAAAAGTAAGTGTTAAGAATTATAATTTGCATGCCCCCTGAATATGAGGCGAACATTTGTACTATTGTTGTAAATGTTGAAGCAAATAAATTATCTATCTATATATGAATTATCCTCACTAAATACGAAACAATATAAATATTTTAAAAAATAAACAATTGCTTATCTAGAGTATATTCTGCTTTGTTTAAGCCATTTTTGTAGACTTTACATAATCATCATCATCGCAGCCTGGAAGACGTCCACTGCTGGACATAGGCCTCCCCCAAAGATCTTTACATAATATTTTTATTAATTTTTTTATACTTTTATTTTCCTTCTTATCTCATAGAACAGTTTCATATGAGGATACTATACTAAAGTACTTATGCAGATGACATCTAAATATATATAACTCAGAGGTGACTGACATAGTGATCCATCAACGCACAGCCCAAACCACTGGACGGATCGGGCTGAAATTTAGCATGCAGGTAGATGTTATGACGTAGGCATCCGCTAAGAAAGGATTTTGATTAATTCTACCCCCAAGGGGATAAAATAGGGGATGAAAGTTTGTATGAAACTGACAATTTCAAACCGATCGGGCTGAGACTTTGCATGCATAAAGCTACTATGATGTAGGCATCCCCTAAGAAAGGATTTTGATGAATTCCACCCTTAACCACCCGCGGGCAAAAGCTAGTTATGTATATATGACATGACATATGACTTACCTACCACCACTCCTGCGCCATATTCAAATTTAGATAGTGCTCGGATATTAGAAGCTGTATATGAAGATGATTATGTGCCCGAGTAATTAAATGGCAATTTACACTAATCTCCAGCTCCTGGACTCGTCCGGTGTGCCGTTCCCGCCTTCTGAAGCCAAGAGTCAACTTGGTGATCCACCCAGCCCACCTAACAGCAAACAACATACAAACCTGCAGGTTGGTTAATAGCTATAATAATAATCTATACATATAAATAAAATTGGAGTGTCGGTTTGTAATATTGAAATCACCGTTTTTTACTACATGCATGTGAATATAAATATGGTATCAAACCACCAAAATAACATTTTTTAAAATGTTTGTCTGTCTTTCTGTTTGTTCCGGCTAATCTCTGAAATGTCTGGACCTATTTTGATGGGACTTTTATTGGCAGGTAGCTGATGTAATAAAGAGCTACTTGTATTTTAGAAAAATAAAGTTATATTCCACGCGGACGAAGTCGCGGCTAAAGCTAGTGATAAATAATATTATATTGCTATTTTATTATAATTTAATGAAACAGTAATTTACAAAGTGTAAAGATATCTTATATCGGCTTTATAGACGGCCTCCGTAGCCAACGATTTCGTCTACCGCTTTACTTCCGATTGCCGCGGGTTCGATTCCTCGCATGGTACAAACATTTGTATAATTGTTTGTTATGTATTATTGATATATTTACAAAAAAATAGAAGTATTTATATCAGTTGTCTAGTTACCCACAACACAAGCTCTATTTATCTTGGGACTAGTTTATGTAGTGTCAATTGTCCAGGGATATCATTATTACTTAATTTTCTCTTCTTTTATGTGCTCTAAAAGATAGCTGGATTTATGCACCTTCCTACTAAAAATTAACTTAAGTGAGACATTAAATCCAAGTAAACTAAACTTTAACCTAACTTAAGAAGTAACTCGTTAATTACATAGTTTTTTCTAATACTTATAGAGACAGTTGCCTGCGCTGGCGCGGGTGAGACAGACGCGTGTGCCGAACGCGTACGACAAGACCGCGCTCAAATTGGAAGAGGGGGAAATTGTTAAGGTACACATTTACATAAAATAACTGACTGACACTGTCTTTTGCAACCCCGGTGAAGGTTGGGGCCTCGGGGCCCCTTTGCTCCAGCATTAACTCCGACAACAATTCCCAAATAGCTGACTGACCGACTGACTGACAAAGCTACTATGACGTAGCCATCCCCTAAGAAAGGATTTTGATAAATTCCACCCCTAAAGGGATAAATTAACGCGAGCGAAGCCGCGAGCAAAAGGTAGTACATAAATAAATTCAATATAACATCATTGACATGTTTATATATATCATACTTATGGATAGTATTCGCTCCGATTAGTGCTAGCGCTGTGAATCACAATCTCAGAAAATACCGCCAGAACAGATTGTGTACAGTATCTAAGTGTAATGTAGCTACTTATAAAACTTCACATACAATTATTATAAACAAAATTCGATAATACAAGTAAATTATTAGAATGTATTGACCAGTTTAACATTACTATTCCAATTAATTGTGAGCCGGAAGCGTGCTCATCGCTTATTGAATATTCTGGAAATTACTTAAAAATTTTACAACAAAATATACGCAGCATAAATCGTAATTATGATGAATTTAATATATTACTGGGTAGGTTAAAGTTTACGTGTGATATAATTGTGTTATCAGAGTGCTGGTTATCGAATGTAGTAAACTTACCCTCATTGCCAGAATATTGCACTTATCGAACTTATGATAATTATAACCAAAACGATGGTGTGGTTGCATATATAAAAACTAATTTGACCCATATAGTTGAGGAAGCTAATCTACAAGAAGCTAACTGCTTGATTATTAAGATTGGTCTGGATACTGCTGTACTTGCTATATATAGACCACCCAGTTTTCACTCACTGGACATCTTTTTAAACTCGTTGAATAACATTTTGGAGACATTGTCCTCGTTTAAAAATATTATTTTAGTTGGAGACATTAATTTAGATTTACTATCAGATAACTATAATACTATCTCGTATTTAGATATCTTATCTTTCCACGGTCTCCTCCCAGTCACCAATACCCCAACAAGAATGAATGCATGCCTTGACCATGTCATTTTAAAAACTAAACTAAAATCATACACTTTTACACTTTGTACTGCCATCACTGATCACCAATCAGTTCTTTTTTGCTTGGAAAACAGCGTAACAAAAATAAAGTCTCTTGTTCATAAAACACAGACAAAACTGAATATGGAAAAACTAAAAACAGATTGCATAAATTACAATTTTAACAAAATTTACAATGAAAAAGACCTTAATATTGCGACCTCGGAACTTATTAATATAATAATATCATTAATTAAGAATAATTCTATTGAAATACTGGTTCCAAGAAATAACAGAATACTAAAGCCGTGGATTACATTAGGTATTTTGAGATGTATACGTACAAGAGACAGAATGCACGGAAGAGTAAGGAAGAATCCAAATAATAATACTCTGATAATTACATATAAAAGATATAGGAATTTTTGTAATAATTTACTGAAAAAGGTTAAAAAACAATATGAAAAAGATCAATTAATAAGGTACAAAAATAATTCTAAAAAACTATGGACTACTATCAGAGAAATTACTAACACAAATACACGAAAAGCCTTACCTTTAGAACTACTGAAATCCCACGAAAATCACATTGTAGCAATTAATAAAATTAACAAATATTTTACAAATATAGGAAAACGATTGGCGGATAATGTTCCCACTACTATTCAACCTTTTTCTAATGAACAACAAATCCCTCTGAATTCTTTTGTTCTTTTGCCAACTGACAATGCTGAAGTAGAGCGTACAATTGCGCAACTTAAACAAGGCTGTTCTCCAGGTTGGGATACAATAAGTGCTATGGCATTGAGTACTATATCTCAGTCGGTATCGCCAGTTATTACTGATTTAATAAATCGATGCTGTGAGGAGGGAATTTTTCCTGATGTCTTAAAGAAAGCAATAGTTCTTCCTATTTTTAAGGCTGGTGATAAGGGATGTATCGAGAACTATAGACCCATTGCAATTCTATCTACATTGTCTAAGGTATTCGAGCGCATTATAAATTCCAGACTAATTACCTTTTTAGAAAAATATAAATTACTCTCTAAGGCACAATATGGATTTAGACCTGGTTTATCTACAGATAATGCGATACTTGATTTTACAAACTTTTTAATTGATAAAATTGATCATAAAAAGAAATGCTTAACTATATTTCTCGATCTCGCTCGGGCTTTTGACACAGTTTCTCCACAAAAACTTGTAAACAAGCTCAGTAACCTAGGTGTTAGGGGTTCACCATTGGCACTATTAACAGATTACCTCAAAAATAGAACACAGCTAGTTAAAATAGGTGATAATGTAAGTACGGATATACCAATTACACTGGGTGTTCCACAAGGCAGTATATTGGGTCCTACGTTGTTCCTGTGCTATATCAATGAACTGTGTCAGCTTAATATAAAAAATTGCCGAATAGCGTCATATGCGGATGATACTACCCTAACATTTTATGCAGAATCCTGGAGTGAACTTTTTAATGTTGCTCAAATTGGTTTTGATAAGGTATGCCATTGGCTGATGACAAACTCTCTAACACTAAATGATGATAAAACGAAGTATATAGTATTTTCAATTAAAAATCATGCCAATTTACCTGACTCTAATCATACAATTCAAGCGCATAAATGCAGTTTCCCAATAATACAAAATTGTAATTGTCCCAAAATTAATGCTACTCAATCTATTAAATATCTTGGTGTACATATTGACTCAAATTTATCATTTGAAAAACACATACACACGATCTCACAAAAAATTCGTAAGCTCAGTTATGTCTTCAGGCAACTACGCGAGGTCGCAGATATAAAAACAATAAAAACAGTTTATTATGCACTAGTACATTCAATATTAATATATTGCATCACTTCATGGGGTGGATGTGTGAAGACCAAGTTAATAACCTTAGAAAGGGCGCAGAGAATGTTGCTTAAAGTGATGCTCTCTAAACCACGTCTTCACCCTACCACAGAGTTGTATGGAGAAGCTGAGATACTGACTGCGACAACTATATATACTTCACACAATTATAACTACCCATTCCACTTTAACGCAGAATAGTGCAAAAACCATTTCCAATACTAGAAGGTATCTCCAAGTATGTGAGCACTCAAATGTGAAAACTACATTTGCACAGCGATTTTACTTATTTCAAAGTAGATTCCTATATAACAGAATAAATAAATTATTGTATATATCTCCAAGTAATTTGAAAGAATGTAAATATAAAGTTACAAAATGGCTTTTAAAACAAAATTACGATGAAACAGAAAAGATATGCAGTGTAATAAAACTATAATATACATAAATTAAATACACACATGTAAATATAAGTAAATATAAATTATAAGTTTATATATAAATTTTACATAGATCACTCACTCACACACATACACACATACGCACACATACACACACACACACACACACACACACACACACACACACACACACACACACACACATACACAGACACACACATGCTCAATGCACTCCACGTTTAAACTTAAAACTAGATGTATAACTAATTTATATGAAGGGGAGACCTGGTGTCTAAGGTACAGGCTATGGCTTAGTTTGGGCTCCAGATTTCCCACAAATTATATTTGTGATTTTTATTTGATAGCATTTATATAATAAAACTAAAATTATGTAATTTGTGGAGAGGAAATAAAAAATTTATTATTATTATTCGCTCACATAAAAAGCTTATGTAACATTAATTCGTGTTAATATTGTAAATAAGTAGGTACTTACTAAACTATTGCGTTCTGAATCATGAGATGTATTAAGATGCACTTGTTCATTACCAGCTACACATATGATTACAGTTTTAAATATAACTGGGAGGCTTGTGACTGCGGAGCGCCATCCCAGACTATAGCACACCTATTGACTTGTCCTTTATGCCTAGCATCCTGCATAAAGGAAGACCTAAAAAATGCGACGGAATGCGCAAGGGTCGTCGCGACGTTCTGGGGAAAATATATCTTATATATAAAATTCTCGTGTCACAGTTTTCGTTCCCATACTCCTCCGAAACGGCTTGACCGATTCTCATGAAATTTTGTGAGCGTATTGAGTAGGTCTGAGAATCGGCCAACATCTATTTTACATCCCCCTAAATGTTAGGGGTAGTCTACCCCTAAAATTTATTCTTTATTTTTTAGACAAAATTTTTAGTTTCTATTTGTTTTATGATACAACATACAAAAATACATACCATCCAAAATTTTCACCCTTCTATCATCAACCCCTATTTTTTATAGCGTTATTAATTTATATGGCATTATGGCAAAACAACGTTTGCCGGGGCAGCTCGTTTATATATATGTATTTAGTTGCCTTTGAAACGAAAGAAGAAGAAAATAAGTGTATTTTTATTTTACAAATGTAAGAATATTGTGTGTTGCAAATTTTTGTGATAATAAATAAATAAATATTCTATATTGAAATTATTTTTTTCAGGTGATAAAAATGAACATGAACGGCCAGTGGGAAGGCGAGTTGAACGGCAAATTTGGACATTTCCCGTTCACGTACGTGGAGTTCATTGACGACTCTGTGTCCAGTTAAACCGAGGGGTAACTGTCCAATAATATCCGGGACATGTTGTTATAATGTAAATTATATTTGTCTCAACACAGACCAACTGTATAGCTCGATTTCCATTTTTAATTCGTTATTTATGTAAAATGTCGAACATAGACAAGTGGTAAATCATTCATCATCATCATCAGCCCACTGCTGGACATGGGCCTCTCCCAAGGCACGCCACTGTGCACGATCTTCAGCCATTCTCTTCCAGTTTTTACCCGCAACCCTACATCAGGCAAATCATTACATAGTATAAAACAAAATCGCTGTCGCTATCTCTCCGTCCCTGTGTATGCTTAAATCTTTAAAAGTACGCAACGGATTTTGAAGTGGTTTAATAGATAGAGTGATTCAAGAGGAAGGTTTATATATATAATACATGTACGCCCATGCGAAGCCGGGGCGAATAGCTAGTCTATATATATAAAAATGAACTGCCGTTCGTTAGTCTCGCTAAAACTCGAAAAGGGCTTTAACGATTTGGCTAATTAAAGTCTTGAAATATTCGTGGAAGTCCAGGGACGGTTTAAACGGTGATGGAATATGAAGAAATGCTTATAAAAACTATTTCATTTTCCCACACAAACTGTTTGTATCTGCCAAACAGTTCGTTCATAAATTTATTGCGTAATTAAACTTTTGTGAGGCGAAACAGAATTCGCTGTGTCAGCTAGTGATAAATAAAAATATATTTTGATAACTATAAATAAATTTATTTTGTATGAAAAATGGCTTAAAAGATTGTTAAAATTATTATGAAATACACACTTCACAGAATAGTGTAGTGTAAGAATAGTATGCATTATGCGCAGTTTCATTTGCATTTATTTCATTATTAAATTACTGCTGGAACTCTACACAAGTAGAACAACATATCATGCTATCTCTTTCAGTCTCATACATTCAGTGAATGATAATGAAATCATTTGCCACTTGTCTACATATCAATAGTTTAATTTTATATTTGTTAGCCGACTTCAATAGAGGGTAATATTTTTAATTTTATATTTTTTTTACGTTACTATGTTTTTACCGGTTGATATTACTTTTATTATGAAATAAATTTTTATATATACTTTGTAAGTCGGGAAATTGAGTGTATGTAGTCTAATATTATGAATTTAAGTATATATCTGTTTGTTAACATTTCATCATTAAATGACTGAATGGATTTTAATGAAATTTTGTATAAACATAGATTGTATCAGGAGGGTGGATACAGGCTATCGTTTATATCAATAAATAACCTTAAAGAGAGTGAAATAAGGGATGAAAGTTTGTGACGACAAAGTCTGGAGTAACAATTAGTTCATTATTAAATTCAAACTGAAAATACAAGTTAAATTACAGTTTTGCTCCATATAATCTAATAATGAATGGACAGGATACTTTTGCTCCATACTTTGATTAAAAAAAAATGCTAAATTTATCTGATCATATTCTATGATTCAACGATAACCGTTCGATTAGCAATTTGCATTAATTTCCCGACTTACTAAAGTAATATTTACATGGATATCCTTCAGATATGTGGACATACACACACTTAAATATAAAAACTATACTTACCATACAAATTTTAATAAATTCCGTCACTCTCTTTTAAACTAGATTTTATTTCCGTTGTGTTGTTTACACACCAGGTCATATGTTGAGCGGAGCGCGAATATTTTTAAAAACTCGAGCTTGACCAATTGGAGTTTTTTTGAGTGGTAAACGAAGGGCCCGAAGGTCGACCTTCGATGAACTTTGGTCTCAATCGGTCAAGCCGTTTCGGAGGAGAGGAGAGGTGTTACAAAGAGTGCAAATCTGATCTCTAAGATCGCTCCGCGCTTCGTTCAATTATGAAAATGTATTTAGAAGAAAAGTACAGAATTTTAATAGCAAATTTTATGAATAACAGGTAACAATATTATTTTGTGTTGCTTCTAACATTCGTGTTAACATAAATGGGTGATTTAATTTGTGTGCATTAATATCTGTAACTACATATTCATCCCGACCTCTTTATGAGGTAGGCAGAGTGAAATTACGGTCATCAGTTAAAAAAAAAACATTGGCCCAGTAAAAAAAAGTTTTATTGGTTATAGTTTTTATAAATAAGCGGGTAATTACACTATCAATGTTATCGTTAAACACGCACAGAGTATATATCCAAAATTTTTAATTACCAAAACATAATATGTCACAAGGAAGAACACTTCTCACTCTAAATATACACAAATAATGTTGATATTGCACTTAACATTATATTCACAAATTATATGAATTACAATTAATGAAATTGAAATGAAAATTAGTGAAAAAAAATATATTAGGCACTACAATTTTTTTATTAAAATTAATTTAATAGCTTTTTCAACTATTATATAAATAGGCAATTAATCATGTTTAGAGAATTTTTTGTTTAATGAAATATTTTTATATCATCTCACGGTTGCATGTTTGTCTAATGAGTATTTCTATTAAGGTCTGTAATTATTAATATATACATCGAAGCTTTTTGACTGCATGAATGCTATTTAACGATTTTATACCGTATTATAAATGTAATAAAACATAAATTATGTCAAACGATGCAATTGGCCATGTAGTCAACAAAACCTGACAAATGGCGAATGTAGAACAATATTTATAATAGCAAAGCTGTATTAAATACATCAGTTGTATTTAAAAATAATATATAATTATATTTATACATTTGGGCTGGAATTACATAATAAAAAATGTATTAGATTGTATATTTTAAAATTTGTAGATTATATACAATTAATAAACCACAGATCAATAAAAAAAATTAATCAAGTTTTTCACAGTAAAATAGATGCTAATATTTTCTACAATTATATAAAAAAATAATTGAAAAAGGGATAAAAACGCGTTAACGTAATTTCAGTCCTATATGTATTGTATACAGAATACATTCTCGAGTGTGATGGGTGGCTATTACTACAACCCAAATGGTCTAAATTAGAAAAGGTTTACAGTCAACCAAAGAACCGATTTTTATATTTATATTATATTAATCGCTTCTTTAGTTGAATATAATAATAAATATGTAAACAAGATTAAATATATCATGTAACCATTGTCATTCGGTCCAATTTCACTTCATTGTATACTTTATTTTTTTTAATTCTAATTAAATACATTTTTTGATTGTGGCAAATGCACCAATCTGCCAAGCCAATGAAAACGAAAAAAAATACAATGAAAATAAAAATAGTGATAATTTCCCGCCAAATTGTGACGTCTATCTGTCAAATAAATTGGTTACGTATTGAAACAAATGTTTTTAAAATGGAACTATTCTCTGTGATTGAAATCCAAATAAATATTTGTGATTTAGTCTCAGATATTTAATCTATTTTGGGAACTACTAGAGACAGTTGACGGGCAATTTTGAGATAAAAATTATAATATTTAAATTGTATTTTAGTAAAAATAATATTATGGTCCATGTTGATCTTCTGAATATTTCAATTTTTATGCCTTATGTATTTTTTTTATTATTAATTGATTTAGTATACAATGAAGTATATAGTATAACTATAAAATGGTGGTTACAGAAATCAATAAAATGCATGTAGCTCAAACACATAGGGATAGTTGCAAAAAATCATCAAGTTTATACAGTATACCTATTATAAGATAAGTATAGCTTTTTTTTAATTATCCGTTTGAGTCACAGGTAATAAAGTTTTTTCATAGTTCATTTTTTTTAATGCAACTTTTTAAATTTTATTTTATTTATTATTTTAGTAGCTAAAGTAGAGTCCAAGTTTTTGGTGTCTTGTGGTTGGGAACGATAGAACCAGGTTTTTGGTGTTAGAAGAATATTTGTGTAAATGTAGTTTAGTTTTTTTTTATAAGATGTCTATGGTGAAAATGTAAAGAAGTATTTGTAATCTCTCAATCGATTAAGACTCATCTATAACAGAAATATGTGTTATAGTTTATTTATGACGTCATAATAATACCAAAAGTACAGTACACAATTTAATATACCTTTTTGTATATAATACAAATGTTTCAAAGATATTTTTGAGTTGCTTCTAAGACTCTAATAGCTGCAAAGTATAAGAGACATATCTAAAATTGTCTCTGGTATAGCTTTATGCCTGTGACATTGAACATTAAGATACGAAAGTAACTTCCAAAATATTATAGTCTATGGCACCGATTCTAACATCAATAGACTAAACTTGTGTGAATGAATTATGGTAAGTTTAGTGTGGTGACGTTCAGAATAGGCGCCGATATTTTTATAATATCAGCTGGTGCAAATTGAGTATTTAGTTTAGTATTAGTAGGCAGATCTAGTTGGGTGATATTTTATTAAGTACCTGTCGACCACATGGAATCATGAGCCTTAATACGAACGGAATAGATACCACAATGTAAATACACAATCGATACATATTCAACCTGATGATATGTAACTTCTATATGCTTGATAGAAAATTTAGGTTGTCATAGATAGTCTCTCTTTCTAATATATATGTTTTTTTGTTTTATATTTTAATTTTATTGCATAATAACGTATAATATCATGTTTATGACTGGCTATGTTTAATTCGTGACTGACTAATTATGTTCAAAAAGATATTTAGTCTATGGGTATGATTTTTTTTTGCTTGAATCTGTATTTCGAATGAACGGTAGAATAAAAAAGAGTATTTCAAAATGCGTACCAGTGTTAAGTTTACTTGATTATATTGTTTTAAAATTAATTTTGTCTGAATTATAATTACTACTAATTTAGTAGATTATTTTGGTAACAATTTGCATGTTTTTTATTCACCGTGACATCTCAACGGTCTAAAATAGCTCATGATACCTATCTGTCGACTTTAGAATTAGCAATACATATAAATTTGATAAAAAACTATACTCATATTTATTAAATATCGTTTAATCATCGCCGTATTACTGCGAGCGTATTTAATCAGCATTATAAATATTTATTGGACACCTACGTAGCAAAATATCACCCACTAGGTCAATATATGCAAAGTATTGAATTACTAATGTGAATAAACCACTCTACATTATAGGTATAAGAAACGGGGGTGGTGATACCAAATGATTTAATGTTGTATAAAATCACTCTGAAATATATTTTGAGATTACGTGTCATATAATATTATGTATAGTACACTTTAAGTCAAATAAAATTTCGTCTAATTTTTTTATTAAGTTATGTGTAACAGTTTAGTAATAAACTCTAGAAAGAAATATAATTGTTTGTATTCATTTTGTAACCCTTATTTGTTCCTCACAGCCATCAAAAGACTGATAGAAGTGCTGAACGCAATTTTGCAAAGGGAAACATTAAATTTAATTACAATAACAATGTGTAAGCGGAACCGATTCAAATATAAAAATATATACCGAATTATTATATTTTGTTTATTTAATATAACAAGTACATAATATACTGTCCGCGGGCCGTATTTTTTATGTGACTGCTCTATAATAAGAATATAAAAAATATTTTTGAGCGCAAATTCATCAACGGAAATCCTTACGAAACAAACTCTTGGAATAGTAAAATTTCCACGTTTTAATTTTTTTATTTTAAAAACCTGGAATATTGTACCCCTTAGATTAGCGGGTAGTTATTAGTAAATACCAACGGAGAATCCATTTTAAAATAATGTTTGAAATAGTATTAGAATCTGTTCGAGAAGATTCAAAACGTTTAATCCAGTTCATGGAAAAAAATATTTCAGTTACGAATATATTGTTTCTTTTTTTAATTTAAGAGCTTTTCAAGAACTTATGGCATTCGCATATGCATCTTGCAGAGTAGGGTTTTGACGTAAAACCGCAGACGGAGTAAGTGGACGAATAATAATATAAAGAATTTACAGATCAAGGACTTTGCGCAACATAAATGTTTAGTAGTAGCAGTGCGAGTAATAATAACTAATAACTTGGAATGAAAATCACGTAGTTATGTTTCAACTTGAGATAAATAAATAATAGATTACCATAGTGAAACTGAGAGAACGTACAAGTGGCGATGGTGTCTTCAAAATAAAAAAAATCAATACGTCAACGTCAATCAGCTATGTTAGTAGAATGTCAAAAAAACGCCGACCGACATTTTTGTATAAGTTACGCAGAAAATATCTCACTGTAATAGTTTACGTATTTAATTCGAATATTTATTAATAACATTCTAATTCTGCATACTTAAAAGTTTCTAATATATTCTAATGAAAATATCTAATGGTCGACGCGAGCACTGTTATTTTACATTTGAATAATAAAACTATTTCATTCATGTTGATTTCATATTTAATAAGTACGGCTAGTAAGTGAATATAAATAAAAAAGTAGACAGTACTTTCTAAATTATTAAAATGGACGACAATCAAATTTATATAAAAATTGAACCAGAAGACGACTACGAAAATTCGTCTTCACCCCTAAATTTATCAGTTCCTGAGAAAGTACACGTTAAACCTGATCTTTTTATGAACATAGAAGCAAATATTAAAGTAATAAAGGAAGAGTCTATAGACATAAATATTGAGTATACTAATGATGAAGAGGTTACAATGAAAAATGAACCTTCAGTTAGTACCAGTAAGTAATAGATTTCTTAAGCAAAGAATATTTGCTCTAAGCTGTAACATATATTTTTTTGAACAATACCCGCGATTTCCTCTGTGTTTATTTTTCATTAAACAAACCCTGTCCATCCTCGTAATACAATCTATATATTCATCTCAAAATCATTCAATGTTTTAAGTCATAAAATTATAACAATCGGACAAACATTCTTTTGCATTTTTAACATTAGTATCGATAATTTTGTACATTGTATTAGAGCAGAGTTCCTTGTCAGTTCTGAGCTCAGTTACATTAGATTTGATTTGAGTTATTACACAGTAGATTTGAGTTATTATACGTATGTAATGGACCTACATGAAAAAGTTGATTTTTATTTTATTTTATTTGAAACTTATGGTGTAATGATTTGTACATGGCAACATTAAACCGAATTATAGGTTTAATTTAATTAACATATAATACATTATATTGGCTTGCGCAAAAACAAAAATAACATGAACAAAATAAGAACTGAATGTGGAATGCATACCTTAAATTGACAATATTAGTTTTAAGTTATAAATGCAAAAGTAACTCTGTCTGTTGTGCTTTCACGCCAATACTACTGAACCAATATAAATGAAATTTGGTACACAGATAGTTAGACTATCTGTGTTCCAAATTTCTTTTATATTGTTTTGGCCCTGAGAAAAGACAATGTATATATCACTAATAGTTAATCCTTTTTTCTTTAACCTTGCCAAGAGATGAGTATTAAGTTTCAAAGAGTGTTAGGCTGGTTGAAGTTTAGTTAATACTAACTGGTCTCGCGACTTTGTCCGCATAAATTTTAACTTTATTTTCGAAACTAAAAGTAGCCTAAGTTACTCCTTATTACATATTGTCTGTCCGTCTGTTTGTTCCGGCTAATCTCTGAAATTGCTGGACGGTCCAAAAAAAACCCCCATCAAAATCGGTCCAGCCATTTCAGAGATTAGCCGAAAGAAACAAATGGACAGACAAAAATTGTAAAAAATGTTATTTTGATGTATGTACCTTACTTATATTTATAAGCATGTAGTAAAAAACGGTTATTTCAATATTACAAACAGACACTCCAATTTTATTTATATGTATAGATTACAAACTACTGTACCTATTATAGTATGGATTCTATTTATAAAAACAAATAAATAAAATTGTAGTGTCTCTTTGTTATTTGAAATTAGTAGCCAATATAAAAAAAATATTAGGATATATAAATGATTTTATTAAAAATAATTGTTATTAATTTAATGTGTGATTAAACTAAATAAAAATTTATTTAACAGATGAAAACTCCATTGAAAATGCAGAACTTTTTAGTGCCACAAAGAGAAGAAAGAAAAGAATTACACAATGCAACAGTGACGATGAAGAATATACACCTAGAGGGAATAAGAAGGTCTGTTTGTTTGTCTGTCCATATTTATTTTTAATATAATTAGGTTCTGGAGCAGTGTTTCCTATCCTTTTTAGTGGAATGCATGAGAATTTTTGCAAGGGTAAAGTGGGGCCCTTAGCCTTTCAAAAATTCTTGTGCATATTCGCATAGGTGTACATGTATTGTATGTGTAATCACTCTTCTTGGATGATTCTATCCATTGCTAAAAACTCCTTTATAATCCGTTCCCTAGTTTATAAGATCTAACCAAAGAGATAGCTAGAGGGGCTTATTTTATGTCATCTAAAGATTCTTTACTGCACCTGAAATGAATTGAAATCCAGACAACCTTTGGGTAGAGTAGAAAAAGAGAAGGTGCGGCATGAATGGAATAAAATGCTATGTATTAATAAAAGTTTATTTTGTTTATTTATTTATATTGCATTGCATAATTATGATATTGGTGATTTACACACATTGGGTGCACCTTAGTAGGTATAGCAATGTGGAAGAGAGACGGAAGTTTTAATATTATTTAGTTTAATCTTCTAAATATTCATCAAATCTGTAATATACTTATTATTATTAATTTCGATAATTATTTTAATACTTGCAGAACAAAAAGGATGATAAAGTAAAACCAACATATAGAGGAAAATCTAAAAGTGAGTATGATTTCAATGGAAATTTTATATTAAATGAAGAGGGAAGAATCATCGAAGATTCGTAACATGATATTGAAACCAAAGGGAACATTGTTATTTAATGTAATTTAATTATGGTAGAAGATATAAAAATGCAACAACATAACAGTTTAGCTGTTTAACACACCACCGTACTTCCTTAGGCCGTAGGTTCGATTCTTCGCACGGCACAAACATTTGTATTCATGAGTATTATTCTTTGTATCTGTCTGGGTGTTTTCTATATATAATATGTATGTATTTACGAAAAAAAATCTATGTATTTGTATCAGTTATCTAGTACCCATAACACAAGCATTAGCTTAACTTAGGACTAGATGGCGCTGTGTGAATTGTCCTGAAATTATTATTATTATTATTACATGATTAATGAACTGCCTATGTACTTTATATTATAGAAGAAGAAACAATGATGTACTCTGAAGATATAACGAAGCATATAGAGATCGTGACTATCACAGAGCAGGAGAGGCAGAAGGAGCACGGCGATCTGCTGCTAGCCAGGAGACACATGCGGTACAGATGCGACATGTGCGCGCTAGGGTTCGTGGTGGAAGACGCTTATCTGGTGCACATGAAGGTCCACTCTCCGGTGAGATGTTTTTTCAAAATTAGCTTAGCCTGCTACCTATAGTCTTATGAATGTTAATGGATTGGTTCACACGGATGATAAGATGAACATGAGATCAGATATGTCTCCAAGATAAAAAAAACTGACTATAAATCTTGCACATAAACAATTCTTTGTGCAACATTTATAGTACGTTTTTTTTTTATTATAATATTATTTTATTTTAACACCTCAACCAGAGCCTAGTCGAATCGCTTCTCTCCATTAAAAATGAGTGCGTAGCGGTTACTATGTTGATTATCGCACGCCTCCTACTTGGTGCTGTGTATTTAGTTGAAACAACATTTATTCAAAAGAGCAACATGCATAATTTTTGCAACTTGTGTGTTGCTCTTTTAAATCATTTCATTACCAAATTTTCTGTGTTCATCTACCATTTCACCATTAATTACAATATATGAATGAAGTTTACACTTTACTTTGTAACCTTTTCACTATTTAGATATTTAGCTTTCTTTATCATTAGGTATGTCCAATTCAAATTCAAAAATCATTGATTCAAGCTTATAAACATCAAATTGTTTGTATTATATTTTTTCATGGTATGTACTTTAGTATATAGATCCAATTGAGAAGAACTTGCAAGAAACTTAACTGAATTTCTTTTTTTTAAAAGCTATTTTATTTACAATTTATTTATATAGGTGTCTATGAGATCTATGACTAATAGTAAATGATAATACCATGCATGAACAACTATTGCCATGCACGCTTTTCAGTCAAGTAATCATTTAGTGACTTTATAATTTAGTGGCTTTGCTCAGTAGATATAATTTAACAGATGTTTTGAATTTATTTAAGAGTAATTCCAGTAATATGTATCTTATTGTAAATTTTCATACCCATTCCCATAAAAGAGTCATTGCCTTTTTCTAAATGATACTTAGGAACAAGCAAGTTTTTCTTTAAATCTAGTATTAATATTATGCTGATAGCGATAAGACCGCCTTTTATAAAACATTTATTTCCATTGTTTTGTACTTACTGTCCTATGTTTATGTATGCGAAATAAAGAGTTATTATTATTATTATTATTATTATTTTATATACATATATTTTATATATCTCCCTTTTTACAGGGGTAATACATACAAACACGCGGGCCTTAGCCAAGCGTGGATGAGTTCAAAAGTTATATGAGGATGATGAAAGTGAAGACCTCTTTGACGACCACGGTGGACTAGCGGTTTAGCACACCGCTTTACGACCGATGGTCGCGGGTTCGATTCCTCGCACGGCACAAACATTTGTATTCAGGCGTCCATACGCTACGGTAACCGTTTACCATCAGATGGGCCTTATGCTTGTTTGCCACCTAAGTGGTATAAAAAAAAAATCATGAGTATGATTGTTTGTATCGGTCTGGGTGTTTTCTATGTATAATATGTATGTATTTACGAAAAAAATATCTATTTATTTGTATCAGTTATCTAGTACCCATAACAAGCTTTAGTTAGCTTAACTTGGGTCTATATGGCGCTGTGTGAATTGTCAAAAAAAAAAGCGAAGACGACAGAAATTTCCGTACAATGCGGCATGTGTTGAGAATTACGGCTTTTTGTAGAGGAGGGAATTTGCAACGTGTCTAGGTGTTTGATAAGTGTTTTGTATTATTATTATTAATATTATGAATTATTTTGTATGTTACAGAATCAAGGAGATTACGAATGCGAGTTGTGCCATTCGTTTCTGAAGCGTGAGAGCATGCTGTACAGACACCGGTTGCGGCACTACCGCCGCTACCGTTGTATGCAGTGCCGTACATTACACAAGGTACATCATACCTACACCTATAATATCAACATCTAATCAAATCAAATCAAAAAGAATTCAGTCAGGTTGGACATTTTAGTCGCTTATGAAAGTTAAGTTTTTTGTATTAATATCTTTTTTTTCCCTCAGCATGATTGTTTGTATCAGTATACCACTTAGGTGGCAATCAAGCATACGGTCCATCTGATGGTAAACGGTTACCGTAGCCTATGGACGCCTGAAACACCAGGGGTGTCACATACTCGTTGAGAGACCCTAAGTGGTATAAAAAAAAAAAGTATGAGTGTTTTCTATGTATATTAATTATGTACTTAGTTTGACACTAGATATCGCTGTGTCAATTATCACAATATATTATTGTTGTCCTTTAAAACGAAATCTGTATACTGAACTGGACAGTTCATACAGCGATATCTAATGTCAAACTAAGTACATAATTAATATACATAGAAAACACCCATACTGATACAAACAATCATACTCATGAATACAAATATTTGTAGTGTGCGAGGAATCTAATTCGTAACCATTGGAAGTAAAGCAGTATGCTAAACCACTAGACCATCTAGCCGTCTCGTGGAGGTGGAGCTCTTGCATCATGCCCTTTAAAAGTTAATATGACTAGGCCCCAATTTTGTATTTAATTTGCTTGATGTAACTAGGCCTTATTCTTCCCGTCTCTTCTTTCTTTCTATTTCTCCCTAAATAATAATTTTCATAAATTCATCGTGCCGTATCAAGTGCCCTAACATTATCCATTGTCTATTTGCAATAAAGTAATAAATGAAGAAGTATTACACAGTGTAAAGGATAAAAGGCAGATATAGCCTTTATCTTTTACACTGTGTAGTACTTCTTCATTTATTACTTTATCTTTTACCGTATTAATATTTTTTCAAATAAATAATTCATTCATTCATTTATTCAAGGACCGGGACACCGCCGCCAGTCACATAATGGCAGAGCACGCAATGAAGACATTCAATTGTGATATATGCGGCCGGCATTTCAAGTTAGTCCACATAACCTTGGTAATTTAGCGGTACTAATAGTCGTGGGTTCAATTCCCGCGTCATAAAAATAGTTTTGGTTAATGCTAATGACTGTCAGGATAGTTAACTCCACAACATCATCAATTTAAGTAGTTTTCTGACTTTTAGATTGAAATTATTCCAGATTGACATTGGGTATTCACAAAGAAACACAATTATTCACTTTCTTTCTTTATGAGCATCCATGCGAAGCCATAGCGAAGTACTAGTATACACTACTAGTTTGCTATGGTTGATATAAAAAAATATACACATAGTACAAGCTTTGCTTAATCTGAGACTAGATGGCGCTGTTTGGCATGTAATATGTAACAAAACAATAAAACATACATATTACCCTTATTTCTCATTCCTCATAACTTAACCGATTTTATTCGTCTTTCTTTTTTTCTAATAATATGAAAAAGTTTTTTACGGAAAGAAAAATGAAGAAAAGTGCTGCTTATTACATTTTTCAGAAGACTTTAAAATTTTAGGTTTACATTTTATCAATTCACTAAGATAAACAGAAAATAGCTATTTATTATATGTATATATTTTGTAACCAACAGACGGCCACAGTATCTTCAGAGACATATAGACCAACACCACACGAAGCCTCTAAGGCTAGAGTGTCCAGAGTGCAAACGAGTGTTTCACGAGAGAGGACGGTATCGGAGTCACGTCAGGTAACACTGGAGCGCAAAATATTTAACTAATGTTCATTATGACGACCTTGGTTCGATTCCTCGCACGGCACAAACATTTGTATTCATGAGTATGATTATTTGTATCGGTCTGGGTGTTTTCTAAACTATGGTCCCTAAAATATGGTCGAGCGCAGTGATGGCTGGCTCATCCGTCATACTCGTGAACGGGTGCTGCTTGTAGGGACTGGTCTGCTCTAATCACTATGACTGATTTCCTCTTATTAATTGTTTAACCAGTTGGTTATATATTCAATATTTTTTCTATTTGAGTATTTCATTGAATTAGTGCTAATTGGTGGTTTGTATTCACACACTTAAACTTAAAGATGTAAAGTAATAATAAAATTATTTAAAAGAGCAACACGCAAGTTTCTTGCTCGTTCTTCTTGTGATGAGACAGCTTTCCGAACGAGCGGTAGATTAAAAAAATGTGATGACTATTCAAAAGTGCTTCAATGTAAGTTTATTTGAATAAATGATTTTCTATTTCTATGTATAATATGTATGTATTTACAAAAAAATATCTATGTATATGTATCAGTTATCTAGTACCCATAACACAAGCTTTAGCTAGCTTAACTTGGGTCTAGATGGCGCTGTGTGAATTGTCCTGAGATTATTATTATTATTATTGATAGATAATTATTTTATGAAGAAACAATTGTACATCGTCTTGTAAGTAGTAATTAAGGTGACAACCACAGCATCCGCATTCAAATCTTTCGCGCCCGGGAATATGTACGAGCTAGTATTGTACATTATTTCGCAACATTAACATTTTATTTTACATTACACATTTCATTTAAAATCAGTTCGCATTCGGTCATCAAGGACGCCGCGCGTACTCGTTTCAATCATTAATGAGTTATATTTTAAGTTTCAATATACAGTTTTATTAATCAAGTTTCTATCAGTATCATTTTTCAGTTTTACCTATCAGAATCTTTATAGTTTGGGTACAACCCGAACAGGAATATTTTGTATTTGTATACCTGTCATAAATTTAGTTTACTAAATGGAGCCGTATGATTGTCCTAGGATATTATTACCAGTGGCACTCAATGAGGAAGTAGCCATTATTATTGCTAAAAGTTGCATATAGATGGCGTGATTGGTATCGATGGAATTCTTCATAGTTTTGCAAACGTTTTAAAAAACAAAACTGTGTTTTCAAAAATGTTTAATCAATTTTTAAAAAGTTATATATACATGTTAAAATGAAATAATGCGTTTAGAAAAGTAATTTTCATATATTTACTCATTTTGTTATTTTCCAGTACTTAATTACACTTTAATCAGTGCTAATATGGGGCTCAATGTTTTCAAAATGCTTTCATAGATGGCATTGTCGTCATTTGTATCGGCCTAATTAAATGTCTTTTTTATATTTTCCAATAATAAGCACTTAATATATTATTATTGTAAATTAAACATATAAAAATTTTTTAAGTAAATTAAAAATAGCCGAACAAGCAAGTAATAATATTTCCAATAATACTTATGTATGAAGTGTTGTCATATTATAAATAAATACATGTATTATCGTTTTTTTTTAATAATTGATAACAGGATTTTATTACGCATTATTCGATGATGCTTTTAATGAGTCGTTGTGAACAGTAAATTTTCATTATTTTGTATTACAGCAGTGTTCCGTTTCAAAGAACGGAATATAGTAGTACATTATTAGTGTCGTTGGTTATTTGCATTTGTACTGAAAAATCGATTACATAATAATTTAAAATATCGAGTACGAATCGTAGTTGTCTTCGAATACTGGCAACTGGTAAGATTAAATTAGTATTTAAAAAAAAGAGAGAAATCGATCCTAATTCGAATACCATAAAGTTGATTTTCCTTTCTCATTAATATCATAGCAGTTTGTTTTTAACTTGCGTATGACTCTGTGGTATGATGTTTAACGTGTATTGTTATTGTACGGTGCATACATTTCAAAAATTATATTTTAATGTAGGTACATACATTTCTTTCATACATTTCATACATGTCAAAAATTATCTTTTAATGTAGGTACATACATTTCTTTCATACATTTAATACATGTCAAAAATTATCTTTTAATGTAGGTACATACATTTCTTTCATACATTTCACACATTTCAAAAATTTCATACAATACGTTTCTTTCATATATTTCAAAAATTATCTTTTAATGTAGGTACATACATTTCATACATTTCAAAAAGTATCTTTTAATGTAGGTACATAACACCCCATGTCAGACCCCTTGTATTTGGAAGAAACTTAAAAATAATGCCAAAAATATTAGATGAATATATTTTTAATACGAATATTGTTTTATTTTTGTTCATCAACTTTATCCCTCACTAACAATACTAGTAGTAGTACATAACCTGGTTTATACCGCTAAAGATATTGAAAGATATACGAGTAATTCAGAATGTTTGGCGTGAAAGCGAGACAAATAGACAGACTGAGTTACTTTAGCATTTATAATATTTTTAAGAATATCGCTATTAAAAATAGGGGTTGGTGAAAGACGGGTGAAAATTTAGGCGTGTATGTATTTTCAATGTAACATTATAAATAAAAAAAAAATTGTCCATAATACAAAAAAATATTTTTTCGGGGTAGGCCACCCCTATGACTTAGGGGTATAAAAAATAGATAACAACCCTACCTCAGACCTGGCAAGTATACATATCAATTTTCATCATGGGAGAAATATGGCAACTAACACTGTGATACAAAATTTATATATTGTAATACACTACCTCTAAGTAGATATATATATATATAGCGGCGCACCCGCCGGTAGCCTCGCGCTGTTGGCTCGTTGCTAAGCAACGGATACCCCGGTAGCGGTTGGGCAACGGGAGGCCGGCGGCAGTTGGTCGTTGAATACCGCACGCAGCGCAATAGTCTTACAACTTATTTTAATTATTTTTATGACGATCCAACAATATAAGATATAGCGGAATTCTCATTAGGTAAAAGAGGGGTACATCGTAGAATACATGAGGTATATACCAGTAAATTAATTGTAGCTAAAATCAGTCTCATACATATAACGATTGAAATAAAAAAACGTATAGCCCGATTTTGATACGTACGAGTATAAACGTATCAAAATCAGGCTATACGTATAGCGCAGACGCGTTACAACATATCAAAAAAATAGGCATGGAATGTAAAATAAACCATAACATAATAGGTATATACATTGGCACATAAGCCATATCTGCAGAGTGTCGGCTAACGATATTATACCTACACATTTACATTGAATCTTGAATCGTCCCTAATGAGGTACACGATACAGTAACCTACATATCTATTATATACATATCTTTGCAAAACAGATGTCATGTAGCTGAATTGACTGCCATCTATTTTCATGCTTTGTTACTAAGCACCCACTAGTAATCCGAACTGCTTCAGATCTAGCGACATCTAGCGGCTACGGTGGCGAAATAAAATAGCCCGAAGAATAGCCCGAGTTAGGAAGGAACCATTTTCTTGTATGGGATGGGGTATCTGTATGTAATATTATGTTATCTGTGTTATTACTAAACTTTATGTATATTTGACGACCTCGGTGGTCTAGCGGTCTAGCACACCGCTTTACGTCCGATGGTCGCGGGTTCGATTCCTCGCACGGCATAAACATTTGTATTCATGAGTATGATTGTTTGTATCGGTCTGGGTGTTTTCTATGTATAATATGTATATATTTACGAAAAAAAAAATTATCTATGTACTTGTATCAGTTATCTAGTACCCATAACACAAGCTTTAGTTAGCTTAACTTGGGACTAGATAGCGCTGTGTGAATTGTCCTGAGATTATTATTATTATTATTTGTATTCAGGACGCATAACGAAGAAGTGAGATCTAACACGGAACACCCCACAGTGCCCTGCGACATATGTTCCCGAGTGTACAGAAATAAGGGTGGCCTGAAGCGCCATCTATTCTCGTTTCATATGGATGTGGTCTGCTCTCTTTGCGTAACGCGGTTTGATAACAATGACCAACTCAATGAGCATTACAAGCAAATACATAACGGTGCTTTTTTCAAGTGAGTAGTACTTCATTTTGCTAATTATCAGCTTTCAGAGACACCACTAGTCTCACTCGTAGTTCTCAGCTCTTGATGACCACATGACGCCAGTAGTGTGCGGTAGAGATGACATAATGCTTCCTTCTCTTTCCCACATACTACTTGGTATACAACTCGAATTATGTGAAGTGATACAGTTTGTTGCCAACATCAAGCTGTTAATATAAATTAGTTATTTTACTTTTGTCTGTTCTCACTTTATTATTAGCACTTCTGTGACCCACACACCACTTCCTGGTCACGCCGTTTTAGGTTCAATAGAGATATTTTAGAGATAAATTCTCCTTTGCTAAGAAAATTTGTAATTTGTATTTGAAATCTTGTATTTAACCTTCCAACTGTTAACTGTCAAAGTGACATTAACGCACGATGGTGCGTCTTGTAATGGCTCTCACAGCATCTGTGAGAGCCAATACAAGACTTACCACAGATGGGGTTTTAGGCCCATCTATGGAGCATCCATTAAAAAAATATAAGATGTTCCACTGATGGGGTTATAATATCTAGTCTAATAATAGCTCCTTCGCAGATGAGATTTTAAAATTGTAATAAAGAATATATATTAATTTCATTTGCGCCCAGTTGTCAATAGATGGCGCGTACACTTTGGATTACTAAATATAAATAAATGTTTGTGGTTTCATACCAGCGCCGGGGAGGAGTGCCCACACTGTTCGAGGGTACTGGTCACTCGCGCTATGCTGCAACGGCATATACAACGTATGCACAGCGACCGCACTAAGAAGTGAGTACATCATCCTTACAGCAGCCATGGGCTCAGGGTGGGGGAAGGGGGGTAGCAGTCTAAAATGTTATGTAACTAGCAAACTATACCCGTGGTGTTACCCAGATTATTTTTTTCATACAAAAGAGTGTAACCGCACTCTGTAGCACCCTGTATCTGTATGTATAATTCGAATTAAAAATACTTTCATATTGCTCACTTACCTGTACCACGAAATTGACTTCAGTATGAACTTTATTATGGATATCGAGTATCGTTGTTAGTACTTAGATCATTTATATTTTAGGTTTGATTGGGCACCTTACATTCAGAACTAGGGTGAGGCAAGCGCTCCACCCTGCTCTGTGGCTACGTCCATGCAACAGTCCATCAACTGTTCTGTAGGCATGTATACGGGATGCCTTAAGTTGACATTCAAAATCAAGTGCCTCCTTGAATAGCTAGACTAATTCTTTGTCCAAAGTAGCTGCCAGCTCTTCGGTCTTCTGTGATGTCGACTAACCTTTTCGTTATTTCTTTGAAAAGTCTTATAACGCTAGGACCTAGCCATTCAAAGAGGAAACGCTGCCAGTATCTTCGGAACATTAAGGGACCCCTTTTAATAATATATTTTAGATTTTTTTTAACTTTTTAATTTTAGGTTCTTAGTTGTACAATTAGGTTATGTACTACTTACTTACTAGTATTTAGTAATAAATACATATATGACAAGACAAGGTTAGGCAATAATCTGCCTACCAGTGCCTCCCTCAATGTGGTAGTGATATAGTTTTGGTAGTCATTGTATTTAGTGGATTGGTCAGTTTGTTTATCAATTACTGGATCGATATTACAGAATAATTTTATTTTAGCTCTAACTATTTGACCTTCGCAACATGGTCTGTATTGTATTTCCCCCATTTTGTTATGATAGGATCAGTCAGCTTAATTAGTCCGTCGTGATGAATTCTCCAGGAATTGTCCACGGTGGTTTCCAGTGCGGACTGTGTGGAAATTAACTCGTCATAGTTATTATCAACATCGTCAGCAATAGGGGACCTATTTTATCCTTTCTGTTAGGGAAAATACTCTCTGCTACCCAAATGTTAGGGAATTTACTATGTATATATATAGGGAACAATATGTGTGAAAACGTCTGTTACGTACCTGTATGGTTCTGCGGATTTCTTGGGCTTCAGGGTCTCGAAGGTATCTTCGCTAGCTTTCTAGTTTCACAGTAGGTTTAACACAGTTCTAATTTATTTTAATTCACAACACAATGCGCGCGCGCGTCATGGCCGCTGTACAGTCAGTTCAGTACTAGGTAAGGGAGGGGAGGCAAAGGCGCGGGAACAGAAAACTAACGGACTCTAATATAATAATCTGTGCTTACGATGTTACAGGGTAGATTTTGAACACTTTCTATAAAAAAGTCCTAGTCATTTAGCATTCCTAGATGGTCCTTTATCCGAGCGGTAACTTCTCCCGACGTGGCAAACTAGTTTCTATTACGAACGTTTCAATTTCCTCAATAAAAGTCACTATTGGTTCTTAGATTAATCCGTCACGGTTATTATTTGCATTGTCAGGAATAGGATTCCATATCCTATTCCCATAAAAAAATTAAAGTCGCTCAGCGTTCCTAGATGGTCCTCCATCAGAGCAGTGACCTCTCCCGACGTGGCTAACAAGTTCCTATTACGAACGGTCCAATCCTCATCAAAAAATTATAGTCTATTGGTTCTTAGACGATCGTCTATGACCATCGTCAGTGAGAGTAACGTGCGACGTGCGCAGGTACCAGTGCGACCACTGCCAGCGACTGTACCTCACCAAGGGCGAGGTGCGCGCGCACATCATGTGGTCGCACGAGCGAGCACGTGGAGGACACGCCTGCGCGCGCTGCGGACGAGTGTTCAGGACGCCCGGCCGCCTGCGGGGACACCTGGCGCGCGACCACCTGCGGCTGCCCGCGCCGCGCCTCCACGCCTGCCACGTCTGCCACAAGGCCTTCGAGGTACGCCACCTGCCACCTGCCACCTGCCACCTGCCACCGACCACTACACGCTGCGGACGAGTGTTCAGGACGCCCGGCCGCCTGCGGGGACACCTGGCGCGCGACCACCTGCGGCTGCCCGCGCCGCGCCTCCACGCCTGCCACGTCTGCCACAAGGCCTTCGAGGTACGCCACCTGCCACCTGCCACCTGCCACCTGCCACCGACCACTACACGCTGCGGACGAGTGTTCAGGACGCCCGACCTAATAATATGTGCAGCTGTCCACAATAATATCCCACTACAAGATGATGATGATGTGGTGGAAAGTTGATGACCTCCCAAAAATTGATACGGTGTACACTTCATCAATTCTTGGTATCCACTGCCTTCAAATAGACTAATTAAAATAACATACATTAGTAATAGTTATGACTGAATTATTAATCATTCTTTTTGTTTCAGAACAAACAAGTCCTCAAACGTCACTTGAGGGTTCACTCAGATGAGATGTATCCCTGCAAGGAATGCGGCGTGTTATTCAAAACTGAACCTTATGTGCAAGTGCATTACAAACTAAAACATTTAAATATGACCCGAGAAGAGATAAAAGGTCAAATTCAGAAGAGGAAAGCGCAAAGCATAAATCTATTCAAACCAACAATAGCCCAATTGAAAACGTTATCATCGGAAAATAAAGGTAAACTGCAACTTAAAATCAATAAGGGCATTGTTAATAGTGAAGTCAGTGCCAAAAAGAACTCTATTGTTATTACAAATAACGCAGAAGATCCACTGTTAATTAGTGATAACAATAAACTAAATGAATTTACCAGTGAAAGTGATAAGAAAATGGATACAAACGATATAAGTGATATTACTACACCGCTGTTTGAAACGTTTGTCGATATACAAAGAGATGTAGAGAATTGAGATAATTTCTAGATAAATGACGTCCCTGGTTATGACAAATTAGTTTTACTTTCATGTGTAAAAATTCTTGTCTATGGTACTAAATAGATTGTATGGATGTAACATAATATTTTGTACAAGATTTCAATGATATCAATTTTAATTTTGTACTATAATTTTGGCTGTGAATATAATACAACAAGGGTTGTATAAGGGTTTATTTTGCATTTGCGAACGCAATATTAATTTAATTTAATTAAATGTATTCTAATTATTTATATTATAAACCGGGTCTTAACACGAATTATTTATCATTACATAGGATAAAACAAAGTCGCTGTCGCTGCCTCTATGTATGCTTAAATCTTTAAAACTACGCAACGGATTTTGAAGCAATTTTAGAGATAAAATAGATAGAGTGATTCAAGAGGAAGGTTTATATATGTAATACATGTACACCTGTGCGAAGTCATGGCGAGTAGCTAGTGTTAAATAAAAGTAACTGCTGGCACTATCTACATTGATCGGTGTTACTCCAGCCAGCCAAGAGGAAGGAGATTGTTAGTAATGTGGACTAATAACCTAGTTCCCCCTTCCACGTAGTTCCCCCTTGTCCTAATCATGATAAATCCATGGTGAATACCACTACGAGCTTACTAATCTGACCTCGTCTTATCATCCTAAACTGGTGCCCCGCCAGCGTAAACCGTTAGCGCAGGCGGGTGCATCATTCGTATCATATCATATCTCATCATCCATTATCATTCGTAAAAAAAAACTCCAGCCAGCTCGTGACCACGGCTAGTGCAACCTGGTCGAAACGTCGAGAGAGGTAAATACCTTAATTTACCATAAAATTATTCAGTTAAGACCCGGTTAATAATATAAATAATGTATATTAAACACGAAAAAAAAATTATGTATTTTAATAATAATAATAATCTCAGGACAATTCACACAGCGCCATCTAGACCCGAGTTAAGGTAGCTAAAGCTTGTGTTGTGGGTACTAGATAACTGATACATATACATAGATTTTTTTTTGTAAATACATACATATTATACATAGAAAACACCCAGACCGATACAAACAATCATACTCATGAATACAAATGTTTGTGCCGTGAAATCGAACCCGCGACCATCGGTCGAGAAGTGGTGTGCTAGACCGCTAGACCACCGAGGTCTTATATTAATGTCTGAAATGTTTATACATAATTTATATTTTAAATTTGATTTGCATTTCTCTCAACTGATGTTAACTTAATTATTTATATGAAATGAATTGTGGTATTTGTTTTTATTAAAAGAATATTGTTAGATTTTATCATTCTTGTTATAAAGAAAACGAGAAGTCTTTAATTGAATGTATATTTGCCACTTTTACAATATTTTTTTTCGAGATGTAATGAACATTGTTTCACTTAAGCCACAGATAATGATTAATTTATGGTCTGTTTTTAATCCTGGAGACAAATTTGACATCATTGATGTTGCCAAGTTTTTGCAATTTTTAAATAGGGTTGTGACACTATCGGAAATTAATATTAATTACCCATTTTTATACGTTACTCAGAATAATGTGCGGGTCTTTATTTATAACATATTATCACAAAATTAATAAATATAGGGTTGTTGTATCAACCTTTTTTTGTAAAACAAAAGACCTTCGTATGGTATGCTATATCATGAAACGATAAATCTCTAAAATATTTTGTTTTTGAATGAAAAAAATTGTTAGTTTGCAGCTTAATATTGTAAAAAATTCCATACATAGTGCGGAAACTACAAAACTGTATTTTTGTTACATAATACACCGACAGTAATAGAAACACTATCAAACAAATAAAAATCTGTTATGGAAACGTCATGTAAAGCTACAAAACTAATATGTTAAAATAAAAATTACCGATTATCAAATTACAAATCGGTATCGCCGGTACAGCACTATCTCGCTATAGGTGGTAACATTATTTGATAATTTGACATTTACAACTGTCAAGTTCTAAGTCTCCGAGATTAAAAAACGGACTTAAGGGACTGTGGCAATAAAAAAAAAATACAGAACTGACTGTAACAAGAGTATTGCCTTTAACAAACAAGCAGACGTTAATACATATTGAATGACAGTTGTCACAACTACAATGCGTAATAAAAACACAATGATGAACAAATATGAATAGCAGCGGCCAGGGCCGGCGGAAACAGGCTGCACGCATGCGGACCATGCGGGTGCCTCTTCAAAGGGGGCACCATCACGAGATTCGGATATATACTATAATTTTTTTTAACGGTTTACGCTGGCAGGGCACCAGTGAAGGATGATAAGATGAGCATGAGGTCAGGTCAGTTAGCCCAACGTGACAAATTCACTAGGAATTTATCACGATGGTTTCCAGGGGGAACCGCGTGGAGGTCAACCTAAAATGGTACATTGCTAGTAATGGGGTCATGAGTCCACATTACTAACAATCCCATTCCCCCCCCAAGTTAACGGTTGAACTATAATTTTATTAAAATATGGCATCTATAGAATACTTAATAAATTATAATAAATAATGTAACTTAACTATGAATACGGAGTCAAACTGCGCTAGGATAAAAATTGCATGCGCTGAGGACTCTAGCGCCGGCCCTGGCAGCGGTGGCCTTACCCATTGCGAGGCTCCGTGCGTAGCAAGGCCTCTTTGTCCTACATGAAAATGCGATGCGAACAATTACGCGGAAATTTTCCACTGATTCAAGGAAACTATGCCTTATTACAATTTCTTTTAAATCGTTTTTTATCTGAATATTTTAGTGTCAGTAATTTTGCTCATTTGCGATTCAATGCCTAAATCGGGGTAATTTGCACTCTTCTCACTGTTTGTTTAAAATTTTGTTTGGTTGTTACGCGAGTCCCCGGGCGATTGCCCAGTTCGCCACTGTTGAATAGCATAATATGAAAAATAATTTGTCATAATTTAAGATATTTATAAGATTTGCAACCACTGCAAGGATCTCTAATAAATTATATCTTTATGTAGAGTCGGTCTATCGTTAGATGTAGATATTTGTTTTCAACATACAATAAAATTAATAGGTATTTGTTTCATTGGAGTTTTATTTGTCTATATATAGTACCTTCATGTATAAATACATAACTAGTTAAAATAAATGTTTATAAAATAATAGCCTAAGTTACTACTTTAGTCCTTCCGCAGGTTTGGAGTGTCATCTGCACTCGTTGCTTATCGTCCGGTGATGCTGTAAAGGTCAGCTGCGGCTAACAGCATTAGAGTAGTCCGAAAGAATTAAAAATAATAATAATAATATTTCAGAACAATTCACACAGTGCCATGTTATGTTATGGGTACTAGACAACTGATATAAATACATGGATACATTTTTTTTTGTAAATAAATACATATTATACCTAGAAAACACCCAGACTGATACAAACAGACATACTCATGAATACAAATGTTTGTACCGTGCGAGGAATCGAACCCACGACCATCGGATAGTAAAGCGGTGTGCTAAACCACTAGACCACCGAGGCTGTCATTTGACAGAAATAAAACGCTTTTATCATAGAACTTAGTTCAATTTTATTAATAAATGCAATAATTATCACAAGTTACAAAGATTAAAGTAGAATAATATAGCCGTCTTAATATTAAGTAGGTACTATACAATAGTTTGATTAAATAATTGTCTTTGGTATATAGGTTTTACATATTTTAATATACTTACTATGTAAACCCAAGTCCAAAGACATTACAGACAAGTCTCAAATAGCCATATAGATTAATATACATTATTTTGATAAAGTAATAACCTTATCAAAATTTACTTATTTAAGTAAATAATAAGTTAAATGTGAACTTGACTCCAGTTCTAAAATGATAGTTATTCGAGAAAGTTAAGATAGCAGAAACCATCTCATCATTCACATTAGTTGTTCTGTGTGGAGGAAGAAGGCGTTTGTTTTTAACTAATAGCCCCATTGCTAGCAATGTACCATGTCAGGTTGATCTACACGTGGTTCCCTCTGGTAACCATCATGAAAAATTGGAATTTTATTGACTGAGAGGTGAACTGACCTGAACTCATGTTCATCATATCATTCTCCACTGGTGTTCCGCCAGCGTAAACCGTTAGCGCAAGCAGGTGCACCATTACACTATCATCCATTAAAAAAAATATGACGTAGCCATTTGTAGAAACTTAGCGGAGCGATCTTAGAGATCAGATTTACACTCGTAACGATACTACACCAAAACGGCTTAACCAATCGGGACCAAAATTTAATCGAAGGCATCATTTACCACAAAAAAAAAACCTGATTGTTCGAAGGTAGTTTTTAAGAACAATGAGGTCAGATCAACATGTGACCTGGTGTGTAAACAACACACCTGTTAGAAACCTATTTAAATAAGTAGATACAGTAATAAATTACAAGTTTAAAATCACATTATACATATATATTTCCATTACTTATGTGCCATAATCAGTCAGTTAGTTTGTCTCATTGCCAGTCCAGCTCACAATTCTCTTATCATTCCATACCAACTCCCCCTTCACAGAGTCTGGGGCTTCGAGGGCCAGGTACACTGGGGCTTCTGCTCCTTCATCAATTGTAAGTACACCCTTATGAGAACTCATGTCTGTGTCCACCCACCCTGGATGTACAGCATTTACTTTTATATCTGCAAAATAAATATAAAGTATGATGCAGAACAAAAATCACAAAATTGGAAGATCCTGAATAGACAGAATAATAAAATAGTGATGGACAAGCCACATATTAATATATTTTTTAGAACAAGTCTTTTATGTGCACTATAAAGAGTTTATTATTATTATTATTTCTCTCATGATACAGCTTTTGAAACTGGTGATTAGTACCAGGATAGTAAGTCTCTCTGTACATTATTTAGTGTACCGTGATTTTGATTCCGTTACAGCCTTTAAGAAGCGACAACATTGCACATATATATAAAACCACAGCATTCTGTAGTGAAATGTACAAATGTTTATTTAATTTATTATTATTATGCTTAGAGAGTAAAACAAGCGGACCAGTAGTAGTAGCAGACCAGTAGCAGAGCAGTAATCAGAGTGAACAGAAGAGGAAGACACCACAAGAGATGATCAGACATATGAAACTTTTGTGGCTCACTGTGGATGAGACTTGCAAGAGAAAGAGGGAGATGGAAAATACTGGAGGAGGCCTTTGTGTCAAAGACCAACAGGGTAACCCCTGTTCAGTGTGTTTAAATAAGAAATGTAAATGTTTTACTCTGTTTAGTTAATAAATATACATCTTTAAACTTTTTGATAAAATAGACATAGAAATAATCTTTATTCAAATACCATCAATATAAGCACTTTTGAATAGTCATATTTTTATTCTACTACTCATTTGGAATGCAGATTTATCACAAGAAGAATGAGCAAGAAACTTGTGTGTTGCTCTTTTGAAAAGATTTTTTTTATATTGATGACTTCACAAAGTTTAAAAATAAGTATAGTCATATAACATAATAACTAACCTCTGCTCTCAAGCAATCTTTGTTGAATTTTTGTCAGTGCTGTTAATCCAACTTTAGAGACAACATATGACGAGTTCCCCCACTCTGCAGCATGAGTGCCATGTTTAGCTGCCTCTATATACTGCCGCATCAAATTGGATAATTCTTCAATTGTCAATTTTGGGTCCGAAAATTTCTTCCTTAATGCTAGACTAGGAATATTATTGAGAAGGCCAGCTGAACTAGAAACGTTGACAACTCTACCTCCATTTTTTACAATAGGAAATAATGCATTACAAGTCGAAAGCACAGAGAAGTAATTCACAAAGAGAGTCTGCTCTGCTTGTATAGCAACCGGTTCTATAGCTTTGTTTTTAAAAGCAATTGCAGCGTTGTTTATTAAAATATCAATACCCCCGTGTTTCTCTTTGAGATAATCTCTGAATTTTTCTATACTCGACGCCGCAGTGATGTCTAATTGGTGGTAATTAGGATTTAAACCTTCTTTCTTTAGTTCTGCTATAGCTTTCTGACCGAGTTCTTCGTTTCTGGAGGTCAAGTAAACAACACCTTTGAAACCTTTGCATAGGCCGCGTACTATACCAAAACCGATCCCTTTGTTGGCGCCGGTCACAACAACAACTTTTGATTCCATTTTTCAAAAATTATTCACTACTACAACTTTATTTTCGAAATAACAAAGTGATACGAAAACCGTGTGATTCTGTTATCAGTATGCTACAGATTAATCGATTAAATTAAAATAGTGACAGATGTATGTGTATCTATGAATTACAATAATGTGCTTTATGGTTGAACAATGAAAGCTTATTTTTGTATTTGCCTGTGATTCAGTGTTGCCATTGCTCACTGCTAAGTCCAATTTTTAAAATAAGGGTAATGAAATGTCACACCGACTACAAAATTTCAAGTTTAATATATAATTAGATTAGATTAACAATAGAGACAATATACTTTATTTATTAGTAGGAAGCCTTTAGTTGTAAAACGATAATGAATAATAAACATATTTTAATTACTTTGGAATGATTTCAAGAGGTATATTCGGAATGTCGTTTCTTTATAATAATTTGGGAAGAAGGAATCGTTATAAATAATAACTAGGTTAGATATATCTATTTAAGAAATAACTATTGCATGTTGGTTAAGATGCCTATTGTAGTCCAGCGGTTTACCAGAATGCCTTACCTTCGATGATCGAGTCCTGTCATGATGCACACATTTGTGTTTATGAGTGTGATACAACCAGTTTTTGATTAGGAATAAATAGGTATATATATAAAATGTATTGCATTTCTATCAGTTGTCCAGTAGTATAGTTGCTCTGCTAATACAGACTAGACGGCGCTGTGGATATTTTGTATTATGCTAAAACCACAGATAATATAATATTACATACTAAAACTAAAGAAAAAGAAACTACTGTATGTATTATCCTGATATTCAGTACACAGATAGATCACAGCCTAAAGCATCACATAAAAAATATAGTACAAAATAAAAACACAGATTACTATTAAGTTTTTATTAAAATTAGTTATTTTTAAAGAGGCCTTGACAGCCACTTATAAATCTATTACATTTCAAAATACAATCAGTTCTATCTATAACAATCAACATAGTGTTAAAGCTTGTTGAGCACAATATTATAATATTAACTAGTTGTGTGCCGTGACACTACACGCGCGAGACCTTTATCTTTTATACCCATGTGGGTAAATATAATAAAATCCCTCTCTAAATTTGAATTTACTTAAAAACTATGAGTTTTTAAGTAAATTCAAATTTAGAGAACAACACATTTTTTTCTTTATTCTTTCAATCTTTTTCGGAGATGGAGTAGGCAATGGTCGTTTGACCATACAACTTAGTCTTTGAACAAGCCAATATTCTAAATTTGTGTAATTCATAGATTCATTGATATTATGACCTACATGACATAATCTGGAAGTGTATTAACATGGACTTAAACACTGTTATTTTCTCTTGCATGAATTTATATAAAAACACTAGCTGTCCCGGCAAACGTTGTTTGGCCTTAAAATAAATAAAAAAAATTTAGGGGTGGACTACCCCTAACATTTAGGGGGATGAAAAATAGATGTTGGCCGATTCTCAGACCTACTCAATACGCTCAAAAAAATTCATGAGAATCGGTCAAGCCGTTTCGGAGGAGTATGGGAACGAAAACTGTGACACGAGAATTTTATATATAAGATAATACAGTTTGCAGAGCTGTTGGCAGATGAAATAGGGGAGACTGAGGTATCCGCAGACAAATTTATACCGTCTACCTTTGGCTGTCTTCATGTTATACTCTCACATGTTTCCATTACTAAGTACTAAGTTGGTATACAACATACCTTGTAATTTAACTAAGTTACTTAACTAACAAGTTATGGACGCAATCTTTATTTATCATTAATATTTATGTTATAAACATAATTCGTATATTTATTCTTAATACATATAAAACTTTTAATTCATTAAAATAGGGAACAATTAAGGCACTTAATAGTACAATATAAAAATAACATTATAATTATTTAAGAAGCATCATTCCATAGCTGGATACCTGTAACAATTTAATTACGAAATTAAATACGGACTGGGTTCTGAAGAATTGTTTGACATGATGCCTATGGCTACCTTTTACCATCACACCGCTCGCCATCGACAGGGAATTCATCCCCACACGCTGGAACCTAAATGGTCCCGTACAGTGCGGATCAGAGGAGCTTCCTCCCAAGTACACTTAGATTGTGGAATTAACTTCCTGCTAAAGTTTGAATCGGTCTGGGAGTTTTCTACATATAATATGTAAGTATACTAAAAAAAGTATCTATTTATATCAGTTGTCTAGTACCCATAATACAAGCTCTGCTTAACTTGGGACTGGATGGCGAATTGTTCAGGGGGTAATAATAACACTTATCATAGAACCCTACCTAGCCCCAATCTAAGTAGAGCTTGAGACTAGCTAGCGTTGGTAGAAAATTTCAAGGGTTATTATTTATTTATTTATCATGACACCAGCAACCCATCCCGACTGGGTGGAAAAAGGATCGTTAGCAATGTGGACTCATGACCCATTACTAGCAATGTACCATATGGGACACAGTCACCTAGATACATAAAATAATAATTGCATTTAATTCAATATTGTCTACTAGGCACTGCTGTATCTAAACTGTGTCACCCCACCTTATATTTTCCTATTTTTATTTAGTATATAAGATCATTATTTCTATGTACATATTGTCAGTTTATCATCATCTGTAATATACATCGTCTCGACCAGCAACATCTTATTATTCACCCGTAACATACCGTGTCAGGTTGACCTGCACGCGGTTCCCCCTGGAAACCATCGTGATAAATTCCTGGTGAATTTGTCACGATGGGAACTGAGCTGACCTCATGTTCATCTTATCATCCTCCACTGGTGCCCCGCCAGCGTAAACCGTGCATCATTCCATTAACATCCATAAAAAAAAACCCGTCTCAACTTCGCATCTGTAGGACCAGATGGCACTGTGTGATTTGTCCTGGGATATTATTATTATTACAAACTAGCTGATCCCGCGACTTCGTCCGCGTGTAAATTAATTTTATTTTTGTAAAATAAAAGTAGCCTAAGTTACTCGTTATTACATCAGCTACCCTCCAAAAAAAGTTCCGTCAAAATCGGTTCAGCCATTTCAAAGAATAACCGGAACAAACAGACCGACAGACAGACAGACAAAAATTGTAAAAAATCTTATTTTGATTTTTTAATAAAAAAAAAAGTTAAAAATTAACTTTATTTGAATAAAATAAAAATATTCTATTTCTTACGTACATCAACGCTCGGCCATCAGCAAATGTGGTATAGCGTCATCAATGCACACATCACCCAGGAAGCCCACGAAGAACACATCCTCGAGGAAGGTGCCCGTGAAGGTCCGGAGTACGGGCAGCTGGAGCAGCAACGTGGCTAGCCTCTCATCATCAGGCTGACAGATCGCCTTTAACGATCGTAGGGCTTTCACTTGGTAATCTTGCAGTTTCCTGGTTAAAAAGTCTGGTGCCCCGTCTGTGGATGATTTTAGATGGTTACTAAGAAACTCCGACCGATTTGAATTTATAGCACACCACTTTTTTGTTTTCTATTGTCGCGGGTTCGATTCCTCGCAAACATTTGTATGCATGAGTATGATTGTTTGTATAGGTCTGTATGTTTGCTATGTATATTATGTACGTAGTTATTTATAATAAAAAAATCGAAGTATTTATATCAGTTGTCTAGTACCTATACACAGCACTAAGCACCTAGTCTAAAGCTCTGTAGAAATTGTCCAGGTTTATTATTTATCATTACATTAGCAACCCATCACGGCTTCGCACAGTGCATTACAAATCTTTGAATTTCTCGGCTTGTTTTATACAATAACATGCATGTATTATACATATAAAACTTCCTCTTGAATCACTCTATTTATTGCTGAAAACGGCATCAAAATCCGTTGCGTAATTTAAAAGATATAAGCGAACAGATGGCGGAAGCAACTCTATTTTATACTATGTTCTTTTTATATTATATATCGGCGACTGTTATATACTATGTAAAGATTACCTGGTGAGAATAAACATAGGGCCCTTAGATATGCGTGTTCACGCTCCGTCACTCGGAGCTGTTCCATGTTGGTGATGAACTGCTGCAGCCTCGTCAGCATGCTGATAATCTCGGATATCCGCTCGTCTGTGTAGTCCTCTATTGTGATCTGATGGACAAGTTTATAGTTTTAATTTTTACGTCACTGGAAGCTAAACTGGCTGATTGTACAATGGATGGAAAGTGGCAACCATAGACTAAAATTAGGGCTGATTTATTTTGTTCCTTATAATTATGAGTCTACTGCAGGTCACTGCTGGACATAGGTCTCTCCCAAGGCATGCCACTGGCCCTTCTGTTCCAATTATTACCGCAACCCTACGTATGTTGTCGCTCGACCTTTGCAACTCAATAACTATTTATTCACTTGTGTCAATTTTACTGCTACTGGCAGTTTGTATTCACACACATGTACTCGTATACTTAAAAGTGTAATGCTCAATAACATTTATTAAAAAGAGGAAGATACAAGTTTTTTGATCATTTCATTGAATGTGTACAATTGTACACCATGTAAGCAGTTAGTGTAGACATGTGGCAGACGGTGGAGCCCCGGTGTGCAGAAGCGCCATCGCAGGCCTGCGTGGGTACCTCGGGCTGCGCGGGCTGGTGGTGGAGGTCGGCGGCGGAGCCCCGGCGGCGCAGCTCCGCGTGCAGCAGCGCCACCATGGGCGGCAGCAGCGCGCCCAGCTGCAGCGCACCTGCGTGCCGCGCCAGGCCCAGCACGAACAACTCCGCCCAGCACTTCCTCAGCAGCGCGGTCTGCACCTCCGCCCTGAGGGAAACATTACACTGTCATGTCATTGGAATGAGAACAAGTTGATGATCTAATAGATGATAAGCATTTAGAGTCATTCTCTGATAGTATATTTTATTGGTGGTACAGGCGTGTGCAGTGTGCAGTGTGCAGTGTGCAGTGTGCAGTGTGCAGTGTGCGGGTGTACTGACGGCAGGTGGTGCGCGGCGGGCACGGCCAGCAGCCAGCGCGCCGTGGCGGCCAGCAGGCGCGCGGCGGCCTCGCAGGCGTGGTGCAGGCGTGTGTAGTGTGCAGTGTGCAGTGTGCAGTGTGCAGTGTGCAGTGTGCAGTGTGCGGGTGTACTGACGGCAGGTGGTGCGCGGCGGGCACGGCCAGCAGCCAGCGCGCCGTGGCGGCCAGCAGGCGCGCGGCGGCCTCGCAGGCGTGGTGCAGGCGTGTGTAGTGTGCAGTGTGCAGTGTGCAGTGTGCAGTGTGCAGTGTGCAGTGTGCAGTGTGCGGGTGTACTGACGGCAGGTGGTGCGCGGCGGGCACGGCCAGCAGCCAGCGCGCCGTGGCGGCCAGCAGGCGCGCGGCGGCCTCGCAGGCGTGGTGCAGGCGTGTGTAGTGTGCAGTGTGCAGTGTGCAGTGTGCAGTGTGCAGTGTGCAGTGTGCGGGTGTACTGACGGCAGGTGGTGCGCGGCGGGCACGGCCAGCAGCCAGCGCGCCGTGGCGGCCAGCAGGCGCGCGGCGGCCTCGCAGGCGTGGTGCAGGCGTGTGTAGTGTGCAGTGTGCAGTGTGCAGTGTGCAGTGTGCAGTGTGCAGTGTGCGGGTGTACTGACGGCAGGTGGTGCGCGGCGGGCACGGCCAGCAGCCAGCGCGCCGTGGCGGCCAGCAGGCGCGCGGCGGCCTCGCAGGCGTGGTGCAGGCGTGTGTAGTGTGCAGTGTGCAGTGTGCAGTGTGCAGTGGTGCAGTGTGCAGTGTGCGGGTGTACTGACGGCAGGTGGTGCGCGGCGGGCACGGCCAGCAGCCAGCGCGCCGTGGCGGCCAGCAGGCGCGCGGCGGCCTCGCAGGCGTGGTGCAGGCGTGTGTAGTGTGCAGTGTGCAGTGTGCAGTGTGCAGTGTGCAGTGTGCAGTGTGCAGTGTGCGGGTGTACTGACGGCAGGTGGTGCGCGGCGGGCACGGCCAGCAGCCAGCGCGCCGTGGCGTGCAGTGTGCAGCAGTGTGCAGTGTGCGGGTGTACTGACGGGCGCGCGGCGGCCAGCGCAGCGCGTGGTGCAGGCGCGCGTGTGTAGTGGTGCAGTGTGCAGTGTGCAGTGTGCAGTGTGCAGTGTGCAGTGTGCAGTGTGCGGGTGTACTGACGGCAGGTGGTGCGCGGCGGGCACGGCCAGCAGCCAGCGCGCCGTGGCGGCCAGCAGGCGCGCGGCGGCCTCGCAGGCGTGGTGCAGGCGTGTGTAGTGTGCAGTGTGTGCAGTGTGCAGTGTGCAGTGTGCAGTGTGCAGTGTGCGGGTGTACTGACGGCAGGTGGTGCGCGGCGGGCACGGCCAGCAGCCAGCGCGCCGTGGCGGCCAGCAGGCGCGCGGCGGCCTCGCAGGCGTGGTGCAGGCGTGTGTAGTGTGTGTAGTGTGCAGTGTGCAGTGTGCAGTGTGCAGTGTGCAGTGTGCGGGTGTACTGACGGCAGGTGGTGCGCGGCGGGCACGGCCAGCAGCCAGCGCGCCGTGGCGGCCAGCAGGCGCGCGGCGGCCTCGCAGGCGTGGTGCAGGCGTGTGTAGTGTGCAGTGTGCAGTGTGCAGTGTGCAGTGTGCAGTGTGCAGTGTGCAGTGTGCGGGTGTACTGACGGCAGGTGGTGCGCGGCGGGCACGGCCAGCAGCCAGCGCGCCGTGGCGGCCAGCAGGCGCGCGGCGGCCTCGCAGGCGTGGTGCAGGCGTGTGTAGTGTGCAGTGTGCAGTGTGCAGTGTGCAGTGTGCAGTGTGCAGTGTGCAGTGTGCAGTGTGCGGGTGTACTGACGGCAGGTGGTGCGCGGCGGGCACGGCCAGCAGCCAGCGCGCCGTGGCGGCCAGCAGGCGCGCGGCGGCCTCGCAGGCGTGGTGCAGGCGTGTGTAGTGTGCAGTGTGCAGTGTGCAGTGTGCAGTGTGCAGTGTGCAGTGTGCAGTGTGCGGGTGTACTGACGGCAGGTGGTGCGCGGCGGGCACGGCCAGCAGCCAGCGCGCCGTGGCGGCCAGCAGGCGCGCGGCGGCCTCGCAGGCGTGGTGCAGGCGTGTGTTGTGTGCAGTGTGCAGTGTGCAGTGTGCAGTGTGCAGTGTGCAGTGTGCAGTGTGGGTGTACTGACGGCAGGTGGTGCGCGGCGGGCACGGCCAGCAGCCCGCGCGCCGGGGCGGCCAGCAGGGGCGCGGCGGCCTCGGAGGCGTGGTGCAGGCGTGTGTAGTGTGCAGTGTGCAGTGTGCAGTGTGCAGTGTGCAGTGTGCAGTGTGCAGTGTGCGGGTGTACTGACGGCAGGTGGTGCGCGGCGGGCACGGCCAGCAGCCAGCGCGCCGTGGCGGCCAGCAGGCGCGCGGCCTCGCAGGCGTGGTGCAGGCGTGTGTAGTGTGCAGTGTGCAGTGCGTGGTGCAGTGCTGACGGCAGGTGTGTAGGCGCGCGGCAGGCGTGGTGCAGGCGTGTGTAGTGTGCAGTGTGCAGTGTGCAGTGTGCAGTGTGCAGTGTGCGGGTGTACTGACGGCAGGTGGTGCGCGGCGGGCACGGCCAGCAGCCAGCGCGCCGTGGCGGCCAGCAGGCGCGCGGCGGCCTCGCAGGCGTGGTGCAGGCGTGTGTAGTGTGTGTGCAGTGTGCAGTGTGCAGTGTGCAGTGTGCAGTGTGCAGTGTGCGGGTGTACTGACGGCAGGTGGTGCGCGGCGGGCACGGCCAGCAGCCAGCGCGCCGTGGCGGCCAGCAGGCGCGCGGCGGCCTCGCAGGCGTGGTGCAGGCGTGTGTAGTGTGCAGTGTGCAGTGTGCAGTGTGCAGTGTGCAGTGTGCAGTGTGCAGTGTGCGGGTGTACTGACGGCAGGTGGTGCGCGGCGGGCACGGCCAGCAGCCAGCGCGCCGTGGCGGCCAGCAGGCGCGCGGCGGCCTCGCAGGCGTGGTGCAGGCGGAGGTGCGCGGCGGCGGGCGGCGGCACCGACAGCGGCAGCCGCAGCGACGCCGCCGTGCTCAGGATCGGGCACTCGGGGACCGCTGCCCGAACAAACGGTCGATTGGTCAAAGATAGAACCGACAGAGGTGGAGTGTGTCGGGAACGAGATGGAATGTCGGACCGTAAAATAAATATATTGGACGTCGATGCCATACGACGCGTTTTGGATGATCCTGGAAATAGTGTGGCTGAGTGAGCGATTTGCTCACTGGTGAGGTAAAGTAATGAGTTCTAGCGTACAATGGGACTGACACGTACTTTTAGTTCATACAAAAGTCTCCAAATATCAAAGAAGTAAAAAAAAAATAACACAGATATTATAACGGATTAGGCGCTGGTTTCAAATGACACACGTGACGAGACGAAATCATCAACATTTTCATCATTTTAGCGACTGCTGGATATAGACCTTTCTCAATGCCTTCCATCTTGTGCGATCTTCCGCCTTCCGCATCCATCCACTCCCGGCTACCTTCGTGATGTCGTCGATCCATCTTGCAGGAGGGCGCCCGACACTCCGTACACGGCCTCCAGTCCATAACTTTTCTGCCCCATCTACCATCTCTGACTCAGCTAATCTGGCCGGCCCACTGCCACTTCAGCTGACATACTTCGAATGCTATGTCGTCCTCATTGGTACTCCGTTGAATTTCCTCGTTTTGGATCATGTTCCTTAGCAAAACTCCGAGCATAGCTCTCTCCATCGCCCGCTATGCGACTTTTAATTTGTAAACTAGGCTTACGATTAGCGTTCATATTTCTGCACCTTAATAAACCTCATTACAGGGGGAATGCACTGCTTAATTTTTTTTTCTTCAAACATTGAGGAACACGGCACAACCGTGTAAATGCGACGGAATTTCCCACATACAGCCCAGCTCAGTCTAATCTGTCTCTCGTTCTTGACATTTCCCCGCATAAATTGTATGATCTATCCGAGGTCTTATCACATTTTTAGAAGAACAACACGACCGCGCCTCTGGACTCTTCCACTGGTGTTATCCCATTAAGAATGACGGAGTCAAACAGACGCTGCAGTTCTTTTAGGATTACAGTCATCATCTCTTAGCAATTCTGTAGTAATGCCGGATGCTTAACAAAGTTTGAGCTTGGCTACTTAAATCTTACCGTCTGATATCTGGTATATCTTCCGTATAACGTCGGCTCGGCAGTCATATTATTGAACATCAAGTGGACTATTGGGTGTCTTAGAAGCATATAGTTTCTCATAGAAATGCTCTATTTCAGTTAATATTTCTTAATCTAAAGTGACTATGGATCCATCTTTACGTCTCACCTTTGACAGATGACCACTTACAGAAAGTTGGGCAGACTTGTAGGCCTTTGTTTTTATCGATTTTGCATACTCCATACGCTTTGTATTATATATGCGACAGTCACGCCGCATGAAACTCTGGACTCGTTGGATTAGGGTCTTGTAGTATGTCGAAGGCGACGACAAATGACGTCAAATGAAACTTATAAAATGACGACAAGAGACGTCAAACTCTTGTGGTCATTTTATAAGACCCAGACTTTAATTGGAAAATTTAGTATTTCGATATTTACCACATGATCTGAAATACGACTACCCACATAAAAAAACGACCCACTTCGAGCAATGTTGCAATAATTTTTTTGTGATGTCTTGTCCAAATCCATTGTGATTTCTAACGAATCTAATCGTTTTTTGTACAAGCAATCTTCTCTATGTTGTTTACTAGAGTCTTGTGAACGAGAAACCCTACCCCACACAGGGAAGGTTTCCTGATTCCAAGATTATTCTTTCCTCTCCCTGGTGCTGGATTTCAGACAATCCAAGAATGCGCTATTTTATAGAAAACAATTCTAATTTAAGCTCTTCCACATCCTCATCTTTTCTCAGTATCCGGATGTTATACGTGCCAAGTCAGTTTTTTTTATGGTGGTTTATCAACCGAGGATTTTTAACAGCCTCTGCCCTGGCGTTACCGTGACCACCACCTTGCCCAGGAATAGCTGGACTGCTAGGTACTGGGGGCCACACATTTTGCGTCCTTTTAATTGGGAAGTTTAGCCCAAAAGTCACCGCACTTAGCCCATAAGACACCACGCTAGACTGGCCAGCGTTGGTGACTAGAATTTTGGGGAGGGTCTATAAGAAATTTTGGAAGGGATTTGTAGTACTTTTTAGGAAGAGAGGGGATGTCACTATTTGGAAGTTTATGGTATATAATAGTAACGGCTGTGGTGTTCAGGGGAGTGTCCATAATCATCTGAAAGATGAACCTACAGAACACAACTACGCGAAGTAAAATGAGTATAATTTTAGACTTACTAGAGAAAACGTAATAATAAAATATATGACATTCGAAAACAATATGTATAAAGAAAAGGAACATAACGTCAAAGTATAAAATACAAAAAATATATATAGAAAAAAAACTATCAAAAAGATTGCTTTCCGCGACAGATATCATTTCACTTTTTTATTTAATCTAATTTCTACTAAACAGATTTAAGACTTAATAATTATTAATAATTTTAAATTTTCTCTTTGCTCTGTGCCCTTTTGAAATAATTTATTTTTACAAAAAGGCGCAACGCACGATTGAAGGACGATGAAATGCGCTAGGTTTTTTTCTTATGGATGATAATGGAAGGGTACACCCGTCTGGTCTAATGCGCTAGTGGTCTACGCAGGCGGGGCACCAGTGCAGAATGATAAGATGAGCATGTAATAAACATATATAAGTATATTTATAATACATTTATAATATTAGTAATATTATAAATGTGAAAGTTCACATTTATAATATTACTAATATTATAAATGTGAAAGTATATATGTTTATTTTGGGAAGGTATGGATTAAGCTGTAAAAGATAACCGGAAATGTAAATATATCAATTGACTTACTTTCATTCTGCTGTGTTTCTGCAGCGGTGTGTAACGCTGAGATCTGTACTTCTGGGGGGGTTGCTCCAGTGTATGCTTGTATATAGTCATTTATAGCACCTGTCAACAAAAGGTAAGGTTTTAAAATATTGTACGAAAAATAAAAGAAAAATATTTAATGACGACCTTGGTAGTCTAGCGATTTAGCACACTGTCTTATGGTTGCAAGTTCGATTTCTTCGAATCGAACTTGCAACCATCATTTATATTCATGACTATGATTGTTTATAGTGATCTGGGTGTTTTCTATAATTATTTTATATTTACAAAAAAATTAAAATGTCTTAAAATGATTTATTCTTGTAGGGCATTTTAGTCGCTTATAATGACCACGTTTTTTTTATTAACATTTTTCTCTCTACCGTACTATTCAGTCTAGTCATTTGATTAAGAACAGAAGAACTGGCAAGAAACTCATATAAAAATATAATTAAATTTCTTTATTTTAAAGCCCATATATCAGTTGTCTAGTGCCCATAATACAAGCTCTGCTTAGCTTGATACTATATGACGATGTGTGAATTGTCCAGGATAATTATTATTATTATTAAATTGAGTTTCTTAAAGTAGCATTGCGTATTTAACATTTTGTCTCTAATTAATTAGTGCTAGTTGGTAGTTTATATTCTCCAATTTAAACTTAAAATATAAAGTTACAACCAAATTATTTAAAAGTGCAACACGCAAGTTTCTTGCTAGTTCTTCTTGTGATGAGACACATTTCTGAATGAGCGGTAGATTACAAATAAGTAATGACTATTCAAAAGTGCTTCAATGTAAGTTTATTAGAATAAAGATTTTTCTATTCTATTCTAGCAAAAGGTATAGTAACGAAGTTTCAGACAACTTTATATCAATCAATTCATTCATAGTCTTACCAAATTGTCCCATTTTGAAGAGATTCTTCGCAAGCTGCGTCTGCAGCATGAGGTGTTGCCGCCTCGCACCCTCGATGTCATTTGCATTGCCCGGGTTCAAATAAGGTGACACTATAAGAAGATATTACACATTTTCATATGTACATAGACGGATATGAAAATGTTACAATTAAGTTATTAAGTAATGTTTTTTTTTTCAAATCTATACATATAAATAAAATTGGAGTGTCTGTTTGTAATATTAAAAAATATAAATACGGTACATACACCGAAACAACATTTTTTACAATTTTTGTCTGTCTGTCTGTTTGTTCCGGCTAATCTCTGAAATGACTGGATCAATTTTGACGGGACTTTTTTTGGCAGGTAGCTGATGTAATAAGGAGTAGCTTAGGTTACTTGTATTTTAGAAAAATTCTTTAAATTTAGAAAAATAAAGTTAATTTCTACGCGGATGATGTTGCGGGTTCTTTTTTTATTACTGTTTACTTAACAATTTATAAAATCCCAGAGGATTTAGGTGTTTATAGCATTCAGTGGTTCCTGTATTCACGTAATAAAGAGGTCACCATGGGAAACAAATACACCAAAAGATCATATAATAAAAACAAATAAATATTACGAACTAATAAACTATGGAACAAAAAATGGCAATGAAAAAAATGTGTACCAACGAAAGCTCTCTACAATCTTCTAAAAGATCTTAGTTTGTCTAGAACTGGACTCAATTCTATTCTAGAACATGTAAGGCTAGACTAGCATGCTTCTAGCAGATTTGTCTGGGAGAGAAACACGAGCGGTGAAGATGAGTGTTAAGCCTACACCCGGGTCACAAGTCCAAGGACTTGCGATATGATTGACCCCAGAAACTGCTTGGAATTTTCCACATTGCTTCAATGCCCAGCATGGATGGATGGATTCAATTCAATGGATTGAGCTTACAGGAAGTTGAATCCATGGGATGCTAAGAAGTTCATCTCTCTTACCTGGATTGCTCTTGTTAAAGGCGACGGCGGCAGCTAGGGCGAAGTTGATGGCCGGCGCGGCCGGGGACACCGCCCCGAACGTATCTGATGGCTCTTCTTTTGGATTAATCTGAACAAACAAATACATGCATGGCTTTATCTTATAGCGATTTGGATTCTTAATATATTGTTTCTGACATTTTTTTTCATTAATTATAATATTAATTTAATTAAGCGGTGCGCGAAGCGCGATGCGATCTCAGAGATCAGATCAGTCTTTTCTTTGTAACTTCTTTGTATCTTTCTTTGTAACGATACTTCTCCGAAACGGCATGAACGATCGGGACCAAAATTTCATCGAAGATCGACCTTCGGGACTTCATAGTTTATCACTCAACAAAAATCCGATCGGTCGAGTTTCTAATAATAAACGCGGTCAACTCAACATGTGACCTGGTGTGTAGACAACGCACCGGTAACATTCCTAGTTATACATAATTAATTAATTCTTCGATTATCAAATCTTATACACTTATACATATATGTATAATAATTATATTATTATTGTATAAAAACATGCCTGCAGACAGTTGAGGCAATTCAATAAGGCTCTATACAAATTATACCTGGCCAATTGTAATTGTTACAACAATTCTTCAAGTTAATAAAATCTTATTTAATTTCATTTCTTATGAACGTATCTCCTCGAAGTTATTTTTTATCATTATTTTGAAAATTGAATAAGAATATAAAATAGGGATATAGTGGCCATATCATCAGGTACTATGCAAGATTTATACCTTCATTTAAAAAAGTACACACCTGTCCGGCCTGTGCTTGTCCAGCTAACCCCAGGAGTTTGGAGTACGCAGTCTGCCGGTCGTGGAGCTGGCCATCTCGCTGTTCTCCCTTCACCTTGTCCACTATCGGCTTCCGTTCATGCTGGACCGCTGTCGACATAGTGCAAGAATTACTGCTCATCGGATGATCGCGATTTAAGCTTTATTACCATATTTGGTTCATAACATTATTCTTTTATATTATGTGGTGGACACTCCACTAATAGTTTTCAAACTCAAAAGATCTGCTTATATATGAGTATTTTACAAAGATGGTACATATAGTGATATCTGGCTGGCTCATCCGTCATACTCGTGAAACGAGTGCTGCTTGTAGGGACTGGTCTGCTCTTATCACTACGACTGATTTAATCTTATTGCATATTTATATTTGACCCAAAAAATTAGTGCCTGTTGGTAGTTTGTATTCACACGTTTCGACTTGTAAATGTAAACTTACAAGGATTATTTAAAAGAGCAACACACAAGTTTCTTGCTCATTCTTGTGAAGCTTTCCGAATAAGCGGTAGATTTAAAAAAAAGTTGACTATTCAAAAGTGCTTAAATTAAGTTTATTTGAATAAATTATTTTCTATTCTATTCTATTCCATTCATACCTACAATATCGCATTTATAATGTTACAATATTTAATGTTAAATACATACGATCCTAGTATCTGTATAGGTACTCACAGTCGCTCCTCATACCACACGCCAAGCACTTCTGCAGGCGGCAGTACTGGCATCGGTTACGGTGGTGCTTCGTCACTTCACAGTTCATACTGCCGCGGCACTGGTAGCCCAGCTTCTTGCGGATTGAGCGCTTGAAGAAACCTTTGCATCCTGTTGGCAATTGTTGTTTATTGATATATATTGTAAACAGTTTGCATAGGTATCATCTATAAATTTTAAAGTACAAATATGCAGATCTCTGTATATATCTTATATATAAAATTCTCCTGTCACAGTTTTCGTTCCCATACTCCTCCGAAATGGCTTGACCGATTCTCATGAAATTTTGTGAGCGTATTGAGTTGGTCTGAAAATCGGCCAACATCTATTTTTCATCCCCCTAAATGTTAGGGGTATTTCACCCCTAAATTTTTTATTTTTATTTTAAGGCAAAACAACGTTTGCCGGGACAGCTAGTCTTATATATAAAATTCTCATGTCACAGTTTTCGTTCCCATACTCTTCCGAAACGGCTTGACCGATTCTCATGAAATTCTGTGAGCGATGTTGGCCGATTTTCAGACCTACTCAATAAGGTCTGAAAATCGGCCAACATCTATTTTCATCCCCCTAAATGTTAGGGGTAGTCCACGCCTAAATTTTTTTTTTTATTTAAGGCAAAACAACGTTTGCCATATCAACTATATACATATATATATATATTTACATATACTATGATGATAATCATACTTCTCATCTAAAGTTAAATGGTTATCGTAACCTATGGACGCCTGAGACACCAAGGATATTACATTAGCTTTTGTTGACCCATAAGATGTTGGTTGGTACCACCAAGATTTAAAAACAACTATGCTAGCAGGGTCGAACTAACCTAGGCAACATAAACATGTGCCTAAGGCCCAAAATATTTGAAACTAGCATATACAAAGTCTGTCATTACTGAAGAATAGCCCTTGTTACAATGCTAGCCTTAATCTACCACTGTGCCAGTAATTGCTGTATATCTCATTCCATCAGTATGTATAACACTAAGTTTCCTAGCCAGTAGATTGTAGAATGTTATTTCTTCAGAAGGTCCTGATTGGTCATTGGGTTCCAGTAACCTATGTCTGTTACTGCAACATGTGTTGTTCGTAAAACATTGAACATAAAGTATTTGACTATAGAAATAGATAATGCAAGTGCAATAAGGAGTTAATTTGTCATTAGTCAGTGAAGTGTTAAAATAAAGGAAGAAATATTATATATTATAAACCTTTACTGTAGAAAAGAAAAGATAATGTCTGTGTAGTGCAACGAGGAGTTTATACCTCATTCATCAGTAAAAATATTAAGATGAAAGAAGAAACTATACCTTCACAACTAATAGCACCATAATGTCTCCCAGAGGCTCTATCGCCACAGACAATGCAGAGCTCAAGACCACCAACTTCTCCACCGCCACTAAACTTCAGCTCCATCTGGTCCTGGCCATCCATGGTGGATATATGTTATGCTGGAATTAGTACAATTTCATTAAATATAATTAAATCCCATATCATATGATTAAAGATCAACTCGGTTGAGATTGGAAGCTAGGATTTAATATTCATCATAATTAGATAAGTGCCTGCAAAGAAATCTACATACAAATAATAATTAACTACACATTGTTTACATACATAATAATCATTACATAGTTTAAAACAAAGATGCTGTCGCTGTCTGTCCCTATATATTTAAATCTTTAAAAGTGTGCATCGGATTTTGAAACACTAGTAGTTTTTTAGATAGAGGAAGGTTTATATATATATATACACCTGTGTACACTATACATGTACACCCCTGTGAAGCCGGGAGTATCTAGTATTAAAATAAACAATACAGCAAACTAAATATGCTTAAAAGTGGAGAAAAAATTATTTGCATTGGTACCACAGTCTATTTCTTTAGTTTACTACCACAGTACTTCTCCATTTCAACAAACAGTTTGCTGTGTAAGTTTTGATTCAGCTGATTAAAAGCTGAAAGCAGTATAAGTGCAGATTATGTTGTGAAATTATGTGATGAGTCCTGAAATTCAGTCCTCGAATGGCAATGCGTAAGTGGGTTTGTGGGTGTCACATTATAATGTTAGTAGCGCTGTTCATGTATATAGGCGATTGTTACCATTTACCATCAGGTGTGCTGTTAGCTTGATTGTCATTGTAATTATATAAAAAATACGAAATAGTGACCCTATTTCTAGCGATATACAGGTCAAGTCAGTCTACACAAGAATTCTAACACTGGTTATTCGCAGCCTCCTATGGGAGAGAATGTCGCAGCTTTGGAGGGAAACCCTTTGCCATGGCTTCAACTCTGAGGTCAACCATCGGATAATTGGGTTGTAAGCCTTTTAGAGCCTCTACAAGGTAAGTTACCACTTCAAAGTTACAAGAAAATACTAAAAATAAAAAACTATTCTTTTTAATGTATACACACTATACAACAACGTTGCAAATGATGCTGCACTGCAGCTTTTACAGGATTGTTATAATTTCAAGTCATCCATTACTTAGAAACAACCAAACTCGTATTATTTACGCGGAGTAATTTATCAGATCTAGTTGACTGTGGTGATTTAACAAGTACACACTTTCAAAAAGTCAGTAGCCGTGTCATATAAAACAAGATCAAACAGCTTTCACTTTTTGGATTAATTATTTCGAAATCAAATCACCAATAACGTTGTATGTGACTTTGTTTGACTGTAGGAGACGAGGATGCTGAGAATTAGTAACACTGCGTGTATATTCCTGTTATCTATGTCCACTCAAGTGTAAATTTAATGTCAAATATACAGTTATGAAGCCATAATGTACAAGTCTTGTGACGCTTACCTTGTATCTTGTTGAACACTTCTCTTAACGCGATGTATATAGTTTTTCAGTCTTAAAAATATTTCGATCACGTTAGTGAACTAAAACACGTTGCATTTTTTTAGTGTTCATTTTAAAATAACAAAATTAATTAAGAAGTTCAAGGACCGAGACAACAAAAAAAGATAGAAAATAAACGTCTGTGACGTGACGTGAATGACAGTAATTGTAAACGTGAATGACGTGTTTGACGTTCTTGATTCTTTATTTTTTCTTTTTTTTCATTCCACAGAAAGTCCTTAGTAACTGGGAAGTCTGGCAAAGACCATTATAATGTACAGACTAGTATTATTTTAAAATTATGAGTAATCCTGATTTGGCTCTTTCCGTTGTATAGGTACATCTGAAAGGCTAGCCCTAATACTCACATTCTTCTAATTCCTGGTATTCACATTTTTTTAATTTAATTTGACTCATTTCTAATCATAAAGATGAAACAACACATATTTATATTTTCTAAATATTCTATAACTAAACCCAAGTTTACACATGTCCTACATTTAAATAAAATTTTGATGAAATTTAGCTTGCGAAATATGGTAACAGATGGCAAACTGAAGATAGCAACATTGATATTAATGTCAGTCAATGTCAATCCACTATTCACGTTCAAGTTGACCACATGTTTATTTATAGTGAAAAAATATTTTTTAATTAATAATTTATAGTGTTAAAACATATAATAGCAATATTAAGAGGTATGGCACGTCCTAAAGTCGATACGTTTATCGACAAATTCGATGCATTTACACAGAAACCGGTAAATTACCTTACCGTTCAAGATGATTTAAAAGAGAATATTAAAAATTTGGTAAAATCTCTGTATGACTACACAAAATTGGAGGAGGGCAAGTATAGAGGTAAGAAGCAAGGTGCCTTAAAAAGATTAATGATCCAAGATTTTGATGAAGAACAGATATGGCAGCAAATTGAACTTCAAAATGGTGAATGTTGTGAAAAACTTACATGGGAAGTAGCTGATGTTGTTTCCAATAAAGATGATCTAACATTTCCTGTAACTGTTCATCGAGAATCTGAAGAGGAAATCATAGATAATGTAAGTGAAGATGAAACAATGGACCAGGAAACTTCAGAAAATGACATTAACGTTAAAATACTACAATTGGATAAACCAAAGAAGGTTAAGAAAAATAAAGTTAAACAGTCTGTAGTGGATGATGATTTCTTCAAGTTAAGGGATATGGAGCATTTTTTGATTAATGAAGAAAAGAGGGATGGTTCTAAAACTAAAAAAGGCATATTGGAAGACAGTGACGAAGAATCAATAGATTTGTTTGAAGATATTGATGATCGGGACCTGGATGAGGAAGAAGGTGGTAAGGATATGATGTACTCTGATTTCTTTGATGGGGACAATGAGAAGGAGGATGATGAAAATATGGAATCTGATGAGAATGACTCGCTTGAAACCAATAAAAATATTGCTGTTAATGGAATAAATAATGATGATGATGACGAGGATGTTGATGATGAGGGTAATGATGATGAGAATGATGATGATGAAATAAGTAATGATAATGAGATAGGTGATAATGGTGATAAAATGGAAGATGAAAAGATCAACAATCTAGTAAATGGGAAATCAAACAATGAAAGAAAGTCTGAATTTGAGCAAAGACAAGATCGTTTACAGCAAACAATAAGTCGATTAGAGGGAAAGGTATTAAAGGAAGCTCCATGGCAACTCAAAGGTGAAGTGGATGCATCAAAGCGACCCCTAAACTCATTGTTAGAAGAGGTAGTAGACTTTGATTTAACAAGTCGACCAGCTCCAATAATAACTGAGCAAACTACAGTAACTCTAGAAGATATTATAATGCGTAGAATCAAAGATAAAGCTTGGGATGATGTAGTAAAAAAAGAAAAGCCTGTTGATGATCAATTGTCATTCCGTAAAAATGAAGTACTAGATCAATCTAAAAGCAAACTGAGTTTAGCTCAAGTGTATGAAGCTGAGTATTTGAAGCAGAAGCAGGCTGCATCAGGTGAAGTGGTAGAAGAACAGGAACCAGAAAGTCACACTGAAATTAAAGATGCAATGACTAAGTTGTTTTCAAAGTTAGATGCTCTGTGCCATTACCATTATACACCAAAACTACCACAGGTAGAAGTTAAAATTGTTAGTAATACCCCAGCCATCACAATGGAGGAGGTGGCCCCAGTAGCTACCAGTGATGCTGCACTATTAGCTCCAGAAGAAATTAAGAAAAAGCAAAGAGGAGAGTTTATGAGTAAAGAGGAAAGAAGTCAAACAGATAAGAATAGAGAGAGAAGGAAAAAGAAAAAGTTACAGAGACAAAAAGGCACAGTTAAGAAAGTGACAGAGCACAGGAACACAAAGAAGGGTGTGGAGGCTAATGATAAAGCACTGAAGACTTCAAAGGCTTTCTTCCAGCAACTAAATGACAATTCAACTGGTTTAATTAAAAACTCTCATGCAATTAAGAGTAAAAAAAATAAAGGACAGTAATGTGTTGTAAATAAACTTGTTGTTAAATATAATTCTCTGGTATTATTGTAATACTAGCCGTTCCCGCGACTTCGTCCGCGTGGAATTTCACTTTATTTTTCTAAAATAAATGTAGCCTAAGTTGCTCCTTATTACATCAGCTACCTGCCAAAAATAGTCCCGTCAAAATCTATCCAGTCATTTCTGAGATTAGCCGGAACAGTCAGACACACGGACAGATAGACAAAAATTGTAAAAAAATCTTATTTTGGTGTATGTACACCGTATTTTTATGCATGCATGTAGTAAAACGGTTATTTCAATACAAACAGACTCCAATTTTATTTATATACATAGATATATATAGATATATAAATTATTGTCTTATCATGATCAGATGATAAATTTTGTACTGTTTGATGAACAAGGAGTATAACCATAAGTCGAGTTATGAAGTTTATGGACTACATTGTAAGGGAGCTGCCGTCAACTAGTAAAAAATAATCTAATTTATATTTTACTAGATGTGCCCGCGACTTCGTCCGCGTAAATTGTCGATACTTCCATATAAGCTTTCATCTCCCCTTTCAACCCTTTGCAACCCTTTTTTCGGATTAAAAAGTAGCCTATGTCCTTTCTCAAGATCTAGACTACCTGTGTACCAAATTTCATTTAAATCGCTTCAGTAGTTTTGGCGTGACAGCCAGACAGACAGACAAGGTTACTTTCGCATTTATAATATTAGTAAGGAGTAAGGATTAGTAGAAAATATATTAAAAAAACATTAATACAAATTAATTCACATAACCGTGTTTTATTAGAATAAATTAATAACAATACTAAAAACATTAATTCTGATTTTACACAATTTTAACAACAGTGAATAATAACAGAATATTTAAAAACCATTAAATTACTTCTAAATATATTTAATTTTGTATGGAAACTTTTAAACTTTGTTTGAATAATCATTTAAGGTTGTAATAGAGTTGCTTTTCAACATTTAAACACAATTTTAATGTCATCAACTTTTTTATCTATTCTATTCCACAGAGATTTAAATGTGGTACTTACCACATCTGCCTAATTGCGTTAGGTGCAACTTTTTTTAATACTTAACATTTATTTTATTTATTAGAAAACCAACAGTTTACAATCCAATAGACAAAATACACAGAACATTTCTATCGAAAAGCAATAACAGGTTTTCAGAGACTAAAAGAAAAAAAACAAAATGTGCCATTCAGAATAAATATTAGAGATAAATGTAGGATGTACAAATCAAATAATAATAGTATCTCACGACACAGCGCCATCTAGTCCTAAGCTAAGCAGGGCTTGTGTTATGGTTACTAGACAAATGATATAAATACATGTATCTATGTATTTATATCACTTGTGTAGTATAATTTTTTAGATAATACATAATATACATAGAAACACTCAGACCGACACCAATCATATGACTGTAAGAGAATGCCTTCAGCGATGGTGAGGCCTTTTGTTAGCATATATTTATTATAAACACTATTATTATTATCGTACTTATATTTGTACCAGGCCAGGAATCGAACCGCGACCGGCGGTGTGTTAACCACTGCACCACCGAGGCTGTCGAATACAAAACTACAAGTTACACAATAAAAATAATAATAGAACTACTTATTTTCCAAGTACTTAAATGTTGTGGCGGGGCGGGAGGGGGGGGGGGGGAGAATGTAAAGGACTTGGGTTGAAATGGGTTACCATAAAGGATAGGTAGGTTCAACGCTATGAAGTCGACAGTTGTTGTAATTAGCGCGGGAAAACTCGACGATATGGCGCGAGACGAATTTGGTATGCACTGAGACCGAATGTTTAGAAGGGATTTTTATATTATAATATTACTTTGATATATAACAAAATATAGTTTTACTTCATATAATTTTATTTAGCAATAAGCAGTGATGCATATCTTATTCGTCATACTCGTGAATATCTGATATTCATAACGTAAGTTTCTATATATTATTTGGTTTAGATGTTTACTAGTAATCTACTTTAACACTGTGGATCTGGCACTTGCTTATTATTTTTATAATTATAAAGCTTATATTAGATATGTTATCTGTGATAAAGCTGAAGAGTTTCTTTGTTTGAACACGTTAATCTCAGGAACTACTGGTTCGAATTTAAAAATTATTTTTGTGTTGTATAGTCCATTCGGCGAAGAAGGCTTTAAGCTATATAATATTACGCTACGACCAATAGGAGCGGAGCTGCAATGAAAATATTGTAAAAGGTGGGAAATGAAACGCAGACAAAGTTGTGCGGGTTAGCTAGTATTTTATATTTACAAAATAAAGGTTAAGACTAAATAACTTTCGATTCTTGAGCTGTTTAATTCTAACATAGAAGAAGTATAACGTAATAATATTTTATCTATGGTACAAATGTCAAATAGACGCTAATACGAAACACAGAATTTTACAAATAAAATACACTTTAATCGTGATATAAATCTGCACTAGTATGGAGTCTAGACATTTTAAATGCGTGTAGGTGCATATTTACGGCTAGATATCTTTACGTTTTGTGTGTGAGCGTGTATGGAAAAGATAATTTATTATTGTCATAGATAAATTCTTCATGCTCATATATTTTTAAAACTATATCAAAATTGTTTTTGTTTTGTTGTTAAAAACATATAGGTAGGTCTGTCAATACGACTCTATTTTTAGGTACACTATATAATCTTTTTTTTAAATTCGAACTAACTAATTACGAGGATTGTTTTCGTAATGGATAATGTTTATTTTATGTTTATTTCGTACAAATTTTGAGGAATTGTAATAGTTTTTTTGATGTTATTAAATCGTGTAGGTATTTCTTTATAGGTATAATTAAATGTTCAGTTCAGTATTTTTGTTAAACAAAAATATAGAACAGATAAAAGTAACATGTGGTCCTGTGTTGTCTCTGGATGCCGCTACGGTAAAGTTGCAATTATCATGCCCAAAAATAGAAGCACCTAATATTGTGAATTTTCACTGGCTTGCTACAAATTGCTATGAGCTTTTTTGTAGGCGTTGCAAAATTTAATTTTGCTTCCGGTTTAGACCAGTTTTCCGGTAGTTTACTATTTACTTATATCTCCATGTATTTTCACGTATAATTTGTTTAGTTTTAACTATACTACATAAAAGAAACATTGAGTTAAATAATATGTGGACAAAGATTATTGTATTTTTATTATTGAATATTTTTTTCTCTTTGAATATTACCGTAAACGTCTGTACCTAGGCTTTATTTTAATCTGTAGACTTCAAACAAGCAGATTGCTTTGAAAGCTGATTTCAAGTTTGAAGGCAGTGGAAGTGATACCGGGGCTAAAAGGTTCACCCTGAGGCCCCAACTTGTACCGTTCTATGGGGTCCGGAGGACTCTGTATTTCTGTATAGCCTTTAGTAATACCAATAATCATTTCCAAATTAGTGTGTAATTTCGTTCATATATAGACTACATTCTAGATTAACGCCTAACAGACTTTTTATAGGAATTCATACGAGTAACGCCGGGATACAGAGACAGTTATTTGTATTATCAAGTACAACCATTGCGGTAAATAGAGAGAATGTTTAAAGTACCCAATATGAGAGATAAACTCGGAGGCCGTGGAGCAATGCGGTGATCCCATAGCGCGCAGTAAGTGCGCCGCGATTTAATCCCGCTGTAGCAAGCAGTCGGTCACAAATTTATAATTTGTACAATTACCCGCGCCCCCGAGACGGCACGCGTCGGATACAGACATGCGTGGAGTCGTCGCTTGTATATTTTAAAGCAGATTTTTTAAATCAAAATATCTTTATTAAAAATAATAATAATCATTTATTCAGGGTCATAATACAGAGTAAAAATATAGAAAATTTAAAAACTAATATCGCGCTATAAGCTGAAACGACCTCCACTCAACTGGTGCCGCAGCGTGTCTGCAGCGCTGATTTTCAGTGCAGCCACTCGAAAAAAGAAATAACATTCTTGATATTATTGACTTTAAATATATAAAACTAAGAGTAAGTTATTTATGTAGGTCTATTACAAAGTCTTATGATACGTCAAATCTACCGTCAGTTCGACATGCTGTCGAGCTAAGAAGAACTGCCAAGTGACTCAGCTGGACATAATTGGAATGGAAAATAAGCTGTATGCCTAACTGTTGGTAAGTGGTTTTTTTAAAGTATAATAATGGAATGGTGCACCCGCCTTCGTTACCGTTTACGCTGGCGGGGCATCAACGGAGGACGATAAGATGAATGTGAGGTTAAGTCAGGCCCATGTTACCGTACAGTCGCGGTGGACTAAATTCGATCCCACGAATCCGGCATATGGCGTTGAGTGAGGGACATCTTGGAGTTTTTAGTGAGTAGGAGTCTCACAGTACCCGCGGGCTTCCCGGCCCGGCGGCCGGCAGGTCTCCATGAGGGATTTTCTCCAAGTAAAAACAAAAAAGGCCCATCTTACCGAAAGTCAGTTTCCAGGGTGAATCCCGTAGAGGTTACTTGGTATGGTACTGTTCTAACAACTAGATTATCAGTCCACATTACTAATAATCTTCAGCTAGTAAGCGGTAATTTCTATACACATGAACAACACTACTGGCCGTAGTGCAGTTCATGTATATAAGCGACAGTTGCCATTTAGGTAGACGCAAGTTTGCCATTCAATTGACATAAAAAATGTTCATATAATATTCTTTAAAATAATACTAGGTCGGCTCTACGGTTTCAAAGTCCCAAGTACCAGGAGAGCATCGGCGCACAGTAGTAGGAGCTAGCAGACAAATAAATTCAGCTGCGATAAGCGACGTATAAATCAGGCGTAGAGATCCAACGCACTGCACCCGCGCCCCGCGGCGGCAGCGAACGGAAAAATTCGCGCTACTGAATTAACTGCCTTTATAAATTCTACTGTTTTCTGGGAGCCTAGTCACATTGCTAGATATAATTATTGTTGTATAGGTGTAAAAACATTTATAATAATAAATAACAATTAAGTTATTAATTATTATTGTT